AGCATCCGAGGGCTCAAAACCCCTCCAGATAATCACACCTTGATGACTGTGAACTTTATCAGCTCTTGTTACTGTGCTGCTCGAAAAGCATCTTCCTGTAGAACTCATTGGAAGCTGCCAGAAGGTGGCGGTAACCCTGACAGCTCTGTCACTACTGTGTGACTTAAAGCAGCCTCCTATAAATCTTAGAAGTAGCATGCCCCTAGATAAAGATATTGCACACTGCACCCTCTTCACTGCACACGGCCCATCTCCATGACCTAATGAGGGTGGACCCCTTACTGCACATGGCCTACTTCCTTGCCTCGATCACCTAATCGGAATGGACCCCTTGCTGCACACTGTCTACCTCCTCGCCTAGGTGACCTAATGGGGATGGACCCCATGTTTTATTGCTCATGACCCTATCACTATCCTTAAAGATGACTTCACTCACTGCCCTGCCCCCTAACCTATACACAATAAATACTGATGCTTGTGGACATTCAGGCCTCGCCTGACTCTGCTTATAGGTGGCGTGGCTCCCCGAGCCCAGTAGTGTTTTCCTTATACTTCTGGGTCCTGTCTCTTTATTTCTTGGATCCTGCGCCTCAGCACAGGATAAGGGACACCCCACGACCCTGTGGGGCCCCTAGCCCTACACTCAGGACTGGTAACAGATCAAGAAATGCATCCTGGGGAAGAGAGAAAGCAGCCTGGCCTGGCCTGGCCTGAGAAGGCTGGCATATACCATCTAAGGTGGCTCCCACCCTCAGGCCCTGGGTCCTGGGGCTTGATCCTTGGGTCCCCTCTCCAGCTGGCTGAGCTCTCTGCAGCAGGAGTGAGACTCCATCCTCCCTGCGCTCCCCACAAGCAGACCAAGTCTTGTCCTCCCTCCGCAGAGCCCCGCTCCCCCGGAGCCTGCTCTCTCTGGGTCAGGACCTGCATGAGAAGCAAGGGTAGCCCATGCCAACACCTCCCAGAGGCTGCAGGCAGTGCAGGCTGGTTTTCCTGTGATCAGTGCAAGTGTTTCTTCCAGTTATCTGACTTCCTTCCCGGGGACTCTGAGCCCACCGTAGCTTTCGGCATGCCTTTAAGGGACACAAAAGAACCACAACAGCCACCAATTCCGTGTCCTCATCAGTAAGGCAGGGCCCCCACCCACCCTGCCTGCCTCACACGGTGTGTAATGCTAGATGAAAAAGCCTATTACAAAGTGTCTAACAAAGGCTGGGGCAGTGGCTCATGCCTGTAATCCCAACACTTTGGGTGGCCGAGGCAGGTAGATCAAATGAGGTCGGGAGTTTGTGACCACCCTGGTCAACATGGTGAAACCCTGTCTCTACTAAAAATACAGAAAAATTAGGTGGGTATGATGGCGCATACCTGTAGCCTCAGCTACTCGGGAGACTGAGGCAGGAGAATCACTTGAGCCCAGGAGGCAGAGGTTGCAGTGAGGTGAGATTGTGCCACTGCACTCCAGCCTGGATGACAGAGTGAGACTCTGTCTCAAAAGAAAAAAAAAAAAAAGGCTGGGCGCGGTGGCTAACGAGGCAGGTGGATCACCAGGTCAAGAGATCAAGACCATCCTGGTCAACATGGTGAAACCCCGTCTCTACTAAAAATATAAAAAATTAGCTGGGCATGGTGGCGTGTGCCTGTAATCCCAGCTACTCAGGAGGCTGAGGCAGGAGAATTGCCTGAACCCAGGAGGTGGAGGTTGCGGTGAGCCGAGATCGTGCCATTGCACTCCAGCCTGGGTAACAAGAGCGAAACCGTTCAAAAGAAGAAGAAGAAGAAGAAAGGAGAAAAGAGAAGGAGAAGGAGAAGGAGAAGGAGAAGGAGAAGGAGAAGAAGAAAGTGTCTGTTAAGTCCGATTGCAGTGGCTCATGCCTGTAATCCCAGCACTTTGGGAGGCTGAGGTAGGTGGGAGAGTCCCTTAAGCCCAGGAGTTTTATTTTCTTAAAGTATTATTTTATCATTTTTATTTTCTTGAGCCCAGGAGTTTGAGACTAGCCTGGGCAACATCATAAGACCCCGTATCTTAAAGAAATTTTTTTTAATTAGCCAGTTGTGGTGGTGCACACCTGTAGTCCCAGCTTCTCAGGAGACTGAAGTGGGAGGATTGCTTGAACCTGGGAGGTTGAGGCAGCAGTGAACTGTGATTGTGTCACTGCACTCCAGCCTGGGTGACAGAGCAAGAAACAAAGCACATTAGGAAAAGGTTCACACCAAACTCAAAGTGGAGACTGGGGTGAGAGTGAAAACTGGAAGCAGGCAGTAAAGGGGAGTTTACTTTTATCTCATTTCTTAAACAAGAAAAACAGTCAGGAAACTTGCGCGTATATATTGTTATATGATGACTAATTCCGATGGTAGGAATGTGGGCAGTCATTATATTATTCTTGTTTGTTTTTTTCTGTGTTCTTCTACCTTCGAAATAAAAATACCTTCCCTTTAATGTTAGTTGTAAGTTAGACAACTACTGTTATGCTGTCATCTTACAGATCAGTAAACTGAGGCTTAGGAAAAGGGCACTGGTTTAAGGCTCAGAGGCCAGGCAAGGCCACAGGAGTTCCAAGCTCAAAAGCAGGATGCTTTCTGCTATCGTGGCCACACAGAAGCACCCTTCCTCTTAAGGGCTGTCCCTACACCTCATAGCTTTCTAGGATGGGCCTTAGAAAAACCCTATAGATGTCCTTGGAGATTCAGGCTGGCTCTTTCCCAGGCTGGGAATGAAAGAGCTGGCCAGTCATGAGCAATTCGGGAATGTTTCTGTTTCTAGGATCTGGGGAGATGAGAATTACATCTACGTGGAAGGAATTTTTCACAGACACGTTGGTTCAACAAACCAATCCAGGCAAAGAGACAGGGAGTGTGGGAGGAGAGAGAAGAGGTGAGAGCAGGCAGGAACTGTGGTGTTCGTGCCAAGGGCTCGAGACAGCTAGTTGACTTGCCCCAGTTTGGCTGCTGGACCTGTACTGCATTTCCTCACCTTGAGCGCTGTCCAGTGAGACAGGGCCGTAAGCTGACTCACTAAAAGCAACAACAGAATGCAAAGCAAAGGCCTGCAGTTTATGAGGACATTGTGCTGTCTGCTTCCATGTCCCCCTTCAGTCTCTGTGTAAGCAATAAACTTGCTGCAATTAAGATGCCTAAGAGGAGCAGAGACCTCTGCCCATATTTTCCCTGGAGCCAAGCCTTTGTTATAGCTCCTGATGAAAACAGGTTTAACCAGCCACCTTAAGGGCGCCATTGTAGCTTTGAAATGTAAAATCTTTGAAATGTAAACTACTACCACTAGCCCCCTTAAACTGCCTTCTGAGCAGGATATCACAAGCCCCGGATATCTATTTTATGGAGTTTCTGTTTCCTTTCTGTCTACCCCTTTCTTTCTTTCTGCTGAGATAAGGTAAATGTAAACAAGAAAAAAGGTATAAAAGCTGTAACCCACAAAAATAAATTTGCTGCGTTTTGGCCATAATCTTCACGCATCCCTCCAGACTCTACTTTTCTATATTCTTTCTTTTCCGCGCACTCTCTCTCTCAGGTTGAACGAGACATCTACGTTGGCGGTCTCGGGGACTCCCGGTCGGTAGTCCCCCGGCAGATGTGCCGGACCCCGACAAGGAACAACTCATTTCTGGAGAGCACTGAGATATCCGAGAACTGTTTTTTTATTAAAAATAAAAGTGTGCTGGTGGAGTGTGATGATTAACTATGTATCAACTTCGCTGAGCCAGAGGGACCAGATATTTGGTCAAACATTAATCTGGCCATTTCTCTGAGGGTGTTTTTGGATGAGATTAGCATTTGAATCTGTGGCCTGGGTAAAGCAGATGCTCCCTAATGTGGGTGGGCCTCATCCAGTCGGGTGATGGCCTGAACAGAACGAAAGCCTGAGCAAGAAAGAATTCCCGCTCTGGGCTTCCCAGTCATCTAGTGGGGATGTCAGTGTCTCCTGCCTTCAGACCTGAGCTGAAACATCAGCACTTCTGGGTTGGGAGCCTGCTGGCCTTCAGATTGAAACTAAACCATCAGCTCTCTTGGGATTCTAGTCAAATGCAGCTCTTAGGACTTTTCACCTGAAGTGAGAGTGAATCCAGGTAAGCAGCTTCATAGCCTAATTTATAATCACCCGATGGGTTCTTCCTGCCCACTGCACAAAACCAATCCACTAAGACCATGGCATTGTCGTAAATAAATTACTTAATTGACAGGAGGCTAGCCACGCCACTGTGCCACCGGGAAGATGGAGTTATTACTCAAATCAGTTTCCTCGAAAATTCCCAGGCTAGGATTTCTCAAGGATAGTGTGGCGGGCAGGGGCTAGGGGAATGGGTGCTGCTGACTGGTCAGGATGCAGCGACATGGGTGTGGGAAATGGTCCTCGAGCACTGAGTTTGCTTCTGGGTGGGGGCCACAGGACTAGTAGAGTCAAGAGTTGAGGGTCCGGGTGGGGTGATCTGGCCATCAGAAATGCAAAAGCCTGAAAAGACATCTCCAAAGGCCAATCTTAGGTTGGACAATCGTGAACTGGGGAAGCTGCAAACACTGTGGCCTCAGGAATAACAGCTGGTAATCAGTTACATGTACCCCTTAGCAGAATTCAGGCCCCTCTCTTCCTGCTAACCCGGTGGCCTTTCATTAACTCTATAAAGCCGGTTTAGTTTGGGGAAAGGGCTATTATCATTTAGACTACGAACTACCATTTCTCCCAAAGTTAGCTTGACCCAAGCCCAGGAGTGACCAAGGACGGTTTGGAGGTTAAAGACAAGCTACGGGTTGGTTAGATCAGATTTCTTTCGTTGTCAAAATTTTCTATTATAACTTTTGCAAAGGCGGTTTCAGGTTTTGTACTAAGACAGGTTTTCTGAACAGATCTAATTCATGCGCTCCCGCGCTCTCCCCAAAAGCAGTAGGACTCATTTCTGCCTTTCCTCCCTAGGCGGAGGCAAAGCCCCGCCTACTCTGGCTCTGAGTCCCGCCTGGTCACCATTCCGATTGACACTCAAACTGACCAATCAGCGCGCTGGTGGGAGCGTGACGCTGCGTCTCCGGACGCACAAGCGCGCTGTCCTTGTTCGGGAGATGGATGGCCGCCGTGTTTCGGGCTGGGTGTGGCGGCGGCGCCTAACTGTCCGCGCAGCGCTCGAGGACGCAGGCTTTGGCACCGAAGCCCGGTGATTAAGGACCCCCCTCCCTCTTGCGGGACGAAGGCTGGGGCAGGGGGAGGGCATGTGCTGGATCTGGATCCGTTAGATGTTACCTGAAAACAGCCCCCTTGGCCTCTCTGAGCCTCAGTGCCCTCGGCTATGGAGTGGGACCGGTCGTACCTGAATTTTCCAGAAGGTCAGCCCAGACATCTGAGGCATTTGTCAGAGGCCACAGGATTTGGGAAGAGGCGTGCAGACATAGGAATGGGCGGCACTTCGGGACCGAAAGATTCCCGTTGCTTCTCCCACCTTTTCCAGAAATCAGAACCAACCCAGAGGCTCCCGCCAACGGTCGGGGCCCCTCGGGGACCAGCCCTTCCCGGGGCTGCTGTCAAAGAACCTCAGTCGGGAGGAGTTGGTTGATGCGCTGCGGACAGCCGTGGTGGACCGGAAAGGTGAGGGGTGAGGGGGATTCCCGCTGGTGCGATCGAGCTCTCCAAGGAAGCCACAGGATCAGCCCTGCTTCTGCCTCCCGCTAGCAGCATGAGCTGGGACGAGCCACGCAATTTGCACCCTCTCCCCGCTCCTACCCCAATTGCCATGACGAAGTGGGGATAAGAGTGGGGAGAGGATGCAAATTACTAGGGAGCCTTGCACCTAGCAGCGCTCAGTAATGGGAGTTGCTGTACTAGATTATTGTTTATTGGCCGCTGTGGCTCACGCCTGTAATCCCAGCACTTTAGGAGGCCGACGCGGGCGGATCACCTGAGGTCAGGAGTTCAAGACCAGCCTGGTCAACATGGTGAAACCCCGTCTCTGCTAAAACTACACAAAATTAGCTGGGTGTCCGCTTATACTCGCGGCTACTCTGGAGGCTGAGGCAGGAGAACCACTTGAACCTGGATGGCAGAGGTTGCAGTGAGCCGAGATCATGCCACTGCACTCCAGCTTGGGCAACAAGAGCAAAACTCCGTCTCAAAAAAAAATTGTTTATTGATACACAAAACACAGGCTTTGGAGTCAGATGTATCCAGGCTCTGTGATCAGCTTGCTGTGTGGCTTTAGGAAAATGACTGAATTTCTCTGAACCTTAGTCTCTGTTCAGTGATTTATTTCTTAACTATTTCTTGAACATATGCTATGTTCCAGGCACTGTTCTAGGCAGGCTATAGAGTGCTGAAAAGGATAGATGTGGTTCCTACTCTCAGGGGAGAAATAGATGTCAGAAAATAAATGAACAAGTTACTAGTGATCAGTGCTGTGCATAATCATAAAACAGGGTTTTATGATTATGAGGAACAGTAGGAGGAGAACAGACATTAGATTGGAGATTTGGACTTCTCCATGTTGTGACTTTTGAGCCAGGATGATAAGGAGACAGACCTGGGAAATTTGGGGACAGAGGAAACAGCAAGTGCCAAGGCTCTGAGGTGGCAGAGGAACAGAACGCAGTTCAGTTTGGGTGAGGTTAACTCACGTCTGAGAGTCATCATAAGGCCAAGTGCGAAGATATTGGAGAAAGTGCTCTGGAAACTGAGTGCTGCATAAAGCGTTACCATTGCTTTTGCTGATGTTCATATGTGTATGTTTCAGGACCTCTAGTGACACTGAACAAGCCACAGGGTCTTCCAGTGACAGGTATGGGCAGGGGATGTGGGAAGGGAATGAAGTGGAAGGGGGTTTCTCGTCTCTGAGGATGGGAAAAGTGAAGGTTTGGCCTCCTGTATTTTTTCTTTCCTATTTCCCAGGAAAACCAGGAGAGCTGACATTGCTCTCAGTGCTGCCAGAGCTGAGCCAGTCCCTGGGACTTGGGGATCGGGAGCTCCAGGTTGTCCGAGCATCTGGGAAGTAAGTGGTGGGGGTGACAGGAGGCTGGGAGTACAGGCATCCGTCTGTGTTGGGGAAACAGCTGCTTGGGGATAAGCTGAGACATTTTCCTTGGGAAGGTGTGAGATCTTAGAGTTGGATACAAGTACTGTGAAGAGGAGGAAGCTGATGGCTCTGGGTTCAAATCCTCAAGTGTAAACGATGTGATACCAGGCCAAGCATGACACCTCCCTGAAGCTGGGCACAGTGACTTATGCCTGTAATCCTAGCACTTCAGGAGGCCAAGGCAGGAGGATTACTTAAGCCCAGGAGTTCAAGACCGGCTTGGGCAAAATAGACCCCATCTCTGGAAAAACAACAAAACCTTCCCTGAGGCCATGCACAGTGTTCACGCCTGTAATCGTTGGGAATTTGGGAGGCTGAGGTGAGAGGATTGTTTGAGTCCAGGAGTTCAAGACCAGCCTGGGCAATGTGTGAAAACCCTGTCTCTGTTAAAAAAAAAAAAAAAAAAAAAAAACATAAAAACCAGCTGGGCATAGTGGCACATGCCTGTAGTCCCAGCTACTCAGGCGGCTGAGGTGGAAGAATCACCTGAGCTTAGATGATGATGGCTGCAGTGAGTTGAGATCCCGCCACTGTACTCCGGCCTGAGCAACCGGAGTGAGACGCTGTCTCAAAAAACAAAAAAACACCCTCCCTGAGCCTCAGTTCTCCTAATTGTAAAATCAAGAAAATAATACGCATGCTCAATGTGCAGTCACTTCTCCATGACTGTACTTGTGGCAGGCATTGCTAGTGGATCCATGATACCCTTTCCTCTAACTGCCATCAATTAAAGATGGTACTTGAGATGAAATATTTCTGTAGTTCCACAAACTCATGAGCTTTTTTGTGGGGAACTTAAGAGCTAATATATGCAGAATTTCTAGAAGAGTTCTGGCACATGGTGGACAATCGTTATATTTGGCGCTGAGCTCCCTGGGGCCTGGGCCAGAATGAGAACCACATGAAGCTACATAGTCCTGTTATATCAAACAAGGGGAGACCTTACTTGTTACTCAGGAGTGGTCTAGGTGGTAGTCCTGGTGTTAGTGTTTGGCCTGAAGCAGGTCCGTGTTGCTTCCTAAGAGCCTCCTTTTTAGTGGGTGAGTCTAAGGGACTTTAACTTGTGTGATTTGTCTCCTTACTCCAGGGAGACCTCTGGGCTTGTACTCCTCTCCAGCTGTCCCCAGATGACTAGTCGCCTCCAGAAGTTCTTCATTCATGCACGGAGAGCCCAGAGGCCCACAGCCACCTACTGGTGAGAGGCGCTGGGAGGTTCCTAGGGTGGTGGGGAGGTCCCAGCAAGCCATGATGTGATCTCCTCCTGCCCCTTTCTCAGTGCTGTCACTAATGGGATCCCAGCTACTTCTGAGGGGAAGATCCAGACCGCCCTGAAACTGGAACACATTGATGGGGTCAATCTTGTGAGTCCGGGTATGGGCAGGGAAGAGGAGGGATGCTTCTAGATATAGTATCCCTACAAGTCAGGGGTATGGATTTGGGATGGCTGGCTCTCCTGTCCCCTAAAACAGGCAAGTGACCACTGCCTAGACTGTGGCCCTGCCCAGAGTCTGTTGGGAGCAGGGAGGGTCTGGGTATAGCTGCCAGGCCTATGTAATGCTTGTTCCCTCTTGGCTGGCACCACAGTCAGTTCTGGTGAAGGCCCCATCCCGAAAGGACATCCTGGAAGGTGTCAAGAAGACTCTTAGCCACTTTCGTGTGTTGGCCACAGGCTCTGGCTGTGCCCTGGTCCAGCTGCAGCCGCTTACAGGTAGGTCTGGCGCACCTGCCAGCCTTTAAAACTGCACTTGATTTGGGAGGCTGTAGCCGGTAGATCACAAGGTCAGGAGTTCAAGACCAGCCTCATCAAGATGGTGAAACCCCATCTCTACCAAAAATTAGAAAAACTAGCCGGGCGTGGTGGCAGGCCCCTATAATCCCAGCTCCTCAGGAGGCTGAGGCAGGAGAATCGATTGAACCCAGGCAGCAGAGGTTGCAGTGAGCCAAGATCACACCACTGCACTGGAGCCAGGCACAGTAGCTGTAATGCCAGCACTTTGGTAGGCTGAGGCAGACAGATCACTTGAGGTCAGGAGTTCGAGACCAGCCTGGCTAACATAGTGAAACCCCATCTCTATTAAAAATACAAAAATTAGCTGGGGGTGGTAGTATGTACCTGTAATCCTAGCTACTTGGGAGGCTGAGGGAGGAGAATCACTTGAACCCAGGAGATGGAGGTTGCAGTGAACCAAGATTGCTCCATTGTACTCTAGCCTGGGAGACAGAGTGAAACTCCATCTCAAAAAAAAAAAAGATGTATTTGGTTCAGAGAGGCGAGGGGCTGGGGAGACAGTGGTGGTATCAACAGCAGCTTGGGGAGCATGTAATGGCCCCCAGAGGTATATGTGACTAGGCCCAGCTGGAGGAGGCAGCTCCAGGCCAGCACCCCAGCAGCAAAGAGCAGGCCTTAAGCCCAGTGGCTTCAACAGTTGGGGTTGCATCTCATCATGAGTGGATCCCACAGCCAGGCAGATGGACAGCTGTGATCATCCTGACCTGTTGTGTGTCCGTTTCTGGATGCAGGAGCCATAGTACCAACCTCACTGAAACCATATGGTCTGAGAAAGGCAGGTGGTGTTTCCAAAGGACGGGGAGGGGTGATACTGGTCGGACAGAAGGAGCAGCTGCCCACCGTCTCTCCTGGCTCTTTTCTTGCTCAGTGTTCTCCAGTCAGCTGCAGGTGCACATGGTACTACAGCTCTGCCCTGTGCTTGGGGACCACACGTACTCTGCCCGCGTGGGCACTGTCCTGGGCCAGCGATTTCTGCTGCCAGCTGAGAGCACCAAGCCCCAAACACAGGTACTCCAGCCCACCTGCCTGCTGCTTTCTGGGAGGTAGAGGGAGACGTGAGCATGGGCAGCATCTCCAGACCTTAGCTGTGTAGCTTGCAACTACTGGGAGGCAGCCCATTTGGCTCCCAAGTCTCTCTCTGTACCCATATCTTGCTGTGTGGCCTTGGGCAAGTAGTACCTGCTCTCTTGGGCTTCATTCTGTCCATCTGTTCAATAAGGGAGTTGAAGTGGCTGATTTTTTTTTTTTACTTTAAATTCTGGAGTACATGTGCACATCTTGCAGGATTGTTACATAGATATACACATGCCATGGTGGTTTGCTGCCTCCATCCCCCTGTCACCTACATTAGGTATGTCTCCTAATGTTATCGCTCCCCAATTTCCCCACCCTCTGCTATCCCTCCCCTAGCCCCCCCACCCCCCAACAGACCCCGGGGTGTGATGTTCCCATGTCCATATGTTCTCATTGTTCAACACCCACTTATGAGAACACGCGGCGTTTGGTTTTTTGTTCTTGTGTCAGTTTGCTGAGAATGATGGTTTCCAGATTCATGGCATACATACTACCACGTACGTTCCATTGTCTAGAGCTCACTCATGTCTCGCCAAGCTGCAAGAGGGCTGGGAAACTCAGTTGAGCTATGCCTAGGAAGAAACTGATCAGGCGACCCCTTAGCCAGTCTCTGCTGCAGTGTGAGTGCCTGTGTGAATGTCCACGCCTGTGTGCAAAGAGGAAATGATTAACAGCTGCAGAGCAGGGAGGAATGGAGGAAGCACTTGCCTTACTCCTTACTCCCATTTCCCTTAGAGCTGGGTACTCAGCTGCTTGGAACATGTGGGGCTGAACACAACATGGCTCTCCCATTCCAGGTCCTGGATGAAGCCCTTCTCAGACGCCTCCAGCTGACCCCCTCCCAGGCTGCCCAGATGCCCTTGCACCTCCACCTACATCGGCTCCTCCTCCCAGGCACCAGGGCCAGGGACACCCCTATTGAGCTCCTGGCACCCCTGCCCCCTTATTTCTCCAGGACCCTACAGTGCCTTGGGCTCTGCTTACAATAATCCTCCCTTTGTTCCTGACCCCTCACACACACACTAGATAGTGAGGGTGGGAGCTCCGGCCAGGCCCAAGGAGAATGAGGTCAGTGCTCAACATGCAGTCAGGTTTAATCCTGGGCTCTGCAGTCAGACAAACCCAAGATCACATCCTGGACGCTTGCTTGCTGTGTGACATTTGGGCAAGTAACTTGACCTCTTTGGACTTGTGATAATAAAAGTTCCTACCTCATGTTATGGTTTTGAGGATTTGCTAAGGAAGTAAATGTTTATTACAGACCTTGCTTTCTGCTGAGTTGACTACGTAGTCTTTTTCTTTGGTGGTTTCCATCCTGATCATGGCTGGGAGATGTTAGATTTGTGTGTGTGTGTGTGTTAAAATACATCTAAAACTTACCATCTTGGCCAGGGGCAGTGGCTCACACCTGTATTCCCAGCACTTTGGAAGGCCAAGGAGGGCAGATCACTTGAGCCTGGGAGTTTGAGACCAGCTTGGGCAACGTGGAGAAACCCTCTCTCTACTAAAAATAGAAAAATAAGCTGGGCATGGTGGTGCATGCCTGTAGTTCCAGCTACTTGGGAGGATCACCTGAGCCAGGGATTCAGAAGTTACAGTGAGCTGAGATCACACCATGCCACCTCACTCCAACCTGGGCCACAGAATAAGACCCTGTCTTAAAATAAAATTTACCATTTTAGCCATTTTAAGTGTACGGTTCTGTGGCATTAGTGTACTCACATTGTTGTGCAACCAGTACCACCATCCATCTCCAGAACTTTTTTTTTTTTTTTTGAGATGGAGTCTTGCTCTGTTGGCCCTGGCTGGAGTGCAGTGGCAACCTCCACCTCCCAGGTTCTTGTAATTCTCCTGCCTCAGCTTGTGCACACTGCCACGCCCGGCTAATTTATTGTATTTTAGTAGAGACAGGGTTTCACCATGTTGCCCAGGCTGGTCTCGAACTCCTGAGCTCAGGCAATCCTTCTGCCTTGGCCTCCCAAAGTGCTGGGATTACAGGTGTGAGCCACCGCACCCAGGCCAGAACTTTCTAATCTGATAAAACTGAAACTTTGGCCGGGTGCTGTGGCTCATGTCTGTAATCCCAGCACTTTGGGAGGCTGAGATGGGCAGATCCCTTGAAGTCAGCAGTTCAAGACCAGCCTGGCCAACATGGTGAAACCCTATCTCTATTAAAAATATAAAATTAGGCCGGGCACGGTGGCTCACGCCTGTAATCCCAGCACTTTGGGAGGCCAAGATGGGTGGATCACGAGGTCTAGAGATCGAGACCATCCTGGTCAACATGGTGAAACCCTGTCTCTACTCAAAATACAAAAAATTAGCTGGGCACGGTGGCACGTGCCTGTAATCCCAGCAACTCAGGAGGCTGAGGCAGGAGAATTGCCTGAACCCAGGAGGCAGAGGTTGCGGTGAGCCGAGATCGCGCCATTGCACTCCAGCCTGGGTAACAAGCGAAACTCCGTCTCTCTCTCTCTATATATATTATATATATTTTTTATATATAAATATTTATATATATTTTTAATTTGCTAAGCACAGTGGTAGGGGCTGTAATCGCAGCTACTAGGGCGGCTGATTCATGAGAATCCCTTGAACTTGGGAGATGGAGGCTGTAGTGATTGTGAGATGGCGCCATTGCACTCTAGCCTGAGTGATAGTGAGACTATCTCAGGGCTGGAAGTGGTGGCTCATGCCTATAATCCCAGCACTTTGGGAGGCCAAGGCAGGCAGATCACCTGAGGTCAGGAGTTAGAGACCAGCCTGGTGAACATAGTGAAATCCTGTCTCTCCTAAAAATGCAAATTAGTTGGGTATGGTGGCAGGTGCCTATAATCCCAGTTAGGAGGCTGAGGCAGGAGAGTCACTTGAATCCGGGGGGCAGAGGTTACAGTGAACCCAGCATGTGCCGCTGCACTCCAGCCTGGGCGACAGTGAGACTCCGCCTCAAAAATAAAATAAAACTTTGTCCCCATTAAACACTAATTCCCTCTCCCCCCAGCCCCTGTTAGCCACCATTCTGCTTCTGTCTCTATGAAGCTGACTATTCTAGGAACCTCATAAGTGGAGATGTCAGATTTTTTTGTTTAAAAAATTGTGAAATAGGGCCAGGCATGGTGGCTCACTCTTGTAATCCCAACACTTTGGGAGGCCGAGGTGGGTAGATCATGACATCAGGAGTTTGAGACCAGCCTGGCCAACGTGGTGAAACCTCGTCTCTACTAAAAATGCAAAAATTAGCTGGGTGTGGTGACAGGCACCTGTAATCCCAGCTACTTGAGAGGCTGAGGTAGGAGAATTGCTTGAACCCAGGAGATGGCAGCTGCAGTGAGACAAGGTTGCACCACTGCACTCCAGCTTGGGTGACACAGTGAGACTCCATCTCAAAAATAAAAATAAAAAATTACGCAATATAGCAAATGCCAAAGCATGCCTAAAACATTTCTGTGATTTAAAGGATACCATCATGGGGTGTGGTGGCTCATGCCTGTAATCACAGCACTTTGGGAGGCCAAGATGGGAGGATCTGTTGAGCCCAGCAATTCAAGACCAGCTTGGACAACATGGTGAAAACTTGTCTCTACAAAAAATTAGTCAGGCATAGTGGTGTACACCTGTAGTCCCAGCTACCCGGGAGGCTGAGGTGGGAGTATCACCTGAGCCCAGAAGATTGAGGCTGTAGTGCGCCGTGATCTGCCCTCCATCCTGGGCAACAGGGTGAAACCCTGTCTCAAAAGAAAACACAGGCTGGGCATAGTGGCTCATGCCTGTAATCCCAACTATTTGGGAGGCCGAGGCGGACAGATCACCTGAGGTCAGGAGTTTGAGACCAGCCTGGCCAACATGGTGAAACTCCATTTCTACTAAAAATACAAAAATTAGCCCAGTGCGGTGGTGGACATCTGTAATCCCAGCTACTCAGGAGACCGAGGCAGGAGAATCCCTTGAATCCAGGAGATAGAGGTTGCAGCAAGCCAAGATTGTGCCACTGTACTCCAGCCTGGGTGATAAGAATGAAACTCCATCTCAAAGAAAAAAAAACAAAACACCACCATCCCCTCAGTGTCCATAGAGGATTGGTACCAGGATCCCCTTTGGATAACAAAATCTGATACCAAAATCTGTGGATGCTCATATCACTTGAATAAAATGGCAGTGTTTACATATACTCTACATACATCCTTTAAATCATTTCTGTATTACTTATCACAGCTAATGCAATATAGAGATATAAACAGTTGTTATACTGTATTGTTTTCATTTGTATTTTTTGTTGTATCATTTTTTATTTATTTTTACATCTGTGGTTGGTTGGGTCCACGGATGTGGCACTTTTGAATAGGGAGATACAATTATAAAGTAGTACCCATAGTACCCCCCTTGGTGCATGAAATAAAGGCACCCTCTCCTTTTTGTGTAGAGCAGCAATTATCAACCCTGGCCCTGTATTAGAATCCCCCTCCCCGAATCCCTCAGGAAGCTTCACTCCCCAATTCTGCACTGCAAAGATTCTGGCTTATTTGGCCTGGGGTGGCTACCCGGCCACTGATCTTTTAAAAAACTACCTGAGGCCAGGCATGGTGGTTCATGCCTGTAATCCCAGCACTTTGAGAAGCCAAGGTGGGTGGATCACAAGATCAGAAGATGAAGACCATCCTGGCTAACTCGGTGAAATCCCATCTCAGCTAAAAATACGAAAAATTAGCTGGGCGTGGTGGCACGCACCTGTAGTCCCAGCTACTAGGGAGGCTGAGGCAGGAGAATTGCTTAAACTTGGGAGGCAGAGGTTGCAGTGAACTGAGATGGTGCTGCTGCACTCCAGCCTGGGCAACAGAGTGAGACTCTGTCTCAAAAAAAGAAAGATCCTACCTGAAGGGGTTCTGTTCAGTCGAGGTTGGAAATGACTGCCCTGGTTTGGGAGAATTACTTGCTTTTCAAGTTTACTGCATATACATGCATTCCCTAACCAATGTATTTCATTTTGCCTGGTTTTGAAGTTTCTGGAACCACACTGTACATATTCTTTCATGATTGCTCTTGCTCCTGATTGTAAAGTGCGTCTGTGTTGCATAGCATGTGGTTTGAATTCCAGAGTTGGAATAGAGCAGTTAGGTCATTTGGCTGTTACCACAGTGCTGCTCCTGGTGCAGTTACACAAGGATTTCCGGATTAGAGTGTCTGGCCTGGTGTGTTTGTTTGCTAGAGCTGCCATTAACACATTAACACAGCCCCAGTGGCTTAAAATAATGAGTGTATTAATAGTCTCTTGGTTCCAAAGGCCAGAAGTCCCAGCACAACATCACTCTGAAGGCTTGAGGGTTAGAATCCTTTCCAGATTCTCAGATGGCTCCAGGTGTCCCTTGGCTTGTGGCTGCATCACACCAATCTCTGCTTCCATTTTTCTAAGTTTTTTTTTTTTTTTTTTTTTTGAGACAAAAATCTCGCTCTTCTTGCTCAGGTTGGAGTACAGTGGCACAATCTCAGCTCACTGCAACCTCCACCTCCCAGGTTCAAGAGATTCTCCTGCCTCAGCCTCCTGAGTAGCTGGGATTACAGGTGTGCAGCACCAGTCCCGGCTAATTTTTGTATTTTTAGTAGAGATGGGGTTTCACCATGTTGGCCAGGCTGGTCTTGAACTCCTGACTCCAAGAGATCCGCCCACCTTTGCCTCCCAAAATACTGGGATTAGAGACCTAAACCACTGTGTCCTGCCTGCTTCCATCTTCACATGGCTTTCTCCTCATGTCTGTCTGCTCTTCTGACTTTTTTTTTTTTTTTTTTTTTTTTTTTGAGGCAGGGTCTCACTCTGTTGCACAGGCTGGAGTGTAGTGGTGCAGGCATAGCTCACTGCAGCCTTGAACTCCTGCCTCACCTGAGTAGCTGGGACTACAAGCACACACCACACCCGGCTAATCCTTTTAAAAATTGTAGGCCGGGCATGGTGGCTCACACCTGTAATTCCAACACTTTGGGAGGCCGAGGAGATGGATCTCAAGGTCAGGAGTTCGAGAGCAGCCTGGCCAACATGATGAAACCCCTTCTCTACTAAAAGTACAAAATTAGCCAGGCATGGTGGCACACACCTGTATTCCCATCCACTCAGGAGGTTGAGGCAGGAGAATTGCTTGAACCTGGGAGGTGGAGGTTGCAGTGAGCCAAGATCATGCCATTGCACTTTAGCCTGGGCAACAGAGCAAGATTCCATCTCAAAAAAAAAGTCTGGGTGTGGTGGTTCACGCCGGTAATCCCAGCACTTTGGGAGGCCGAGACAGGTGGATCACCTGAGGTTGGGAGTTCGAGACCAGCCTGACTAAACTGGAGAAACCCTGTCTCTACTAAAAATATAAAACTTAGCCGTGCATGGTGGCCCATGCCTGTAATCCCAGCTACTCAAGAGGCTGAGGCAGGAGAATCATTTGAACCTGGAAAGTGTAGGTTGCAGTGAGCCAAGATTGCACCATTGCACTCCAGGCTGGGCAACAAGAGTCAAACTCCATCTCAAAAAAAAAATGTATAGAGATGGGGGCCAGACTCAGTGGCTCATACCCCCATGTAATCCCAGCACTTTGGGAGGCTGAAGTGGGCAGGTCACTTGAACCCAGGATTCCAAGATAACCTGGGTAAAGTGGCAAAACCCTGTCTCTACAAAATATGCAAAAAAATTAGCCAGGTATGATGACACATGCCTGCAGTCCCAGCTGCTTGGGACACTGAGGTGGGAGGATCATCTGAGTTTAGGAGGCGGATGTTGAATGAGCCAAGATCTTGCCACTGCACTCCAGCCTGGGTAACAGACTGAAACCCTGTCTCAAAAAAAAAAAAAAAATTGAGATGGGGTCTTGCTATGTTGACTAGGCTGGTCTTGAACTCCTGGCCTCAAGCAATCCACCTGCCTTGTCCCCCCTCCCCAAAACATGCTGGGGATGAAGCCCACTGTGCCCAGCCTTCTTACTCTTATTTTTTAAAGTAGGATCTTGGTATGTTGCCCAGGCAGACTAGTCTCCAATTCCTGGCCTCAAGCAACTCTCCCACCTTAGCCTCCTTATCCGTGTGTGTGTGTGAGTCTCTGTTGCCCTGGCCTCCAACTCCTGGCCTCAAGCAGTTCTCCCACCTCAGCCTCCTTTGTGTGTATGTGTGTGTGTGAGCGTCTCTGTTGCCCAGGGTGGAGTGCAGCGCCAGTCACTGCAACCTCTGCCTCCTGGGTTCAGGCAGTTCTGCTGGGATTACAGGCATGTGTCACCACACCGGGCTAATTTTTTTTTTTTTTTTTTTTTTTTTTTTTTTTTGAGATGGAGTCTCTGTCACCCAGGTTGGTGTGAAGTGGTGAGATTTCAGCTCATTGCAACCTCCACCCTCCAGGTTCAAGCTGTTCTCCTGCCTCAGCCTCCCGAGTAGCTGGAATTGCAGGCAAATGTCACCATGCCCAGTTAATTTTTGTATTTTTACTAGAGACAGGGTTTCGCCATGTTGGCCAGGCTGGTCTCCAACACGTGACCTCAGGTGTTCCACCCACTTCAGCCTCGCAAAATGCTTGGATTACAGGAGTGAGCCACTGGCCCTTATGCTTTCTTATAAAGACACTTGTCATTGAATATAAGCACCACACTGGTCGTTTGGATTATCTCATCTAAGATCTTAAACTTAGTTACATCTGCAAAGACTTTTTTTTTTTTTTTTATAACTCTATCTCCCAGGTTCAGAGTGATCATGGCTCACCAGTTTTGATCTTCACAGGCTCAGGTAATCCTCCCATCCCAGCCTCCTGAGTAGTCAGGACTACAGGTGCGTGCCACCACGCCCAGCTAGTTTTCTGTAGAAACGGTTTCACCATGTTGCCCAGAGTGGTCTCAAACTTGTGGGCTTAAGCGATCCTCCTGCCTTGGCCTCTCAAAGTGTTGGAGTAACAGACGTAAGCCATAAGGTCACATCTCTTTTCCTACATAAGGTCACATTCACAGGGTCCAGGTAGACATCTCTTTTGAGGGGACCACAGTTCAACCTACAACTAGGCAGTGCCACACTTTTCTTCAGGTGGGTGTGGCTTGTGGATATTTCCTTTTTAGGTGACCGTGGCCCCTTGCTGAGGAAGGGATAGTCCCACTCCCTCCGCAGAAGGGCTGAGGTTTAGGCAAGGCCCACTCTTTCCCGTCTCATGGTATTAACGTTCCTATGCCCGCTAGGTGTCATTTTGCCAGCCTGGCTTATTCTCCAGGGTTAGGGGGCTCCCAGTGGTCGGCAGTTCTGGCAGTGTGTCCCCGCCCTCTACTCACTGCCATGTGATCTTGGGCAAGCCATGCCTCCTCTTTCAGACTCAGTTTCTTCATCTGTGAAGTGAAACTTCACGCTCCCCAGCCCTGGATCCAAGATACTGGAGGAATACCTCAATAGGAAGCCCCATTATCTGTCCCTAGGTGGGGAATTCTGGGTCTCGCAGCTCAGAGGAGCTGCTGATGGCCTCGGGCTCTTGTTGTGGACCCTGGGGTACAGGGCCTTGCCCCACCCACTCTTGACCTTCCAACAGCAATGAAGCCAAGCCCCAAATACTTCACTTCTTTCTTTTTATTTGGTGTTGGATCCAGGACAAGGGCAGTGGGGAATCAAAGCAGGGGCTTCCCTAGCTTCATATCCCCCAGACCCCTGCCCCTCTGGAATGTACCAACAAGGGGCAGGGGTTTCAGGGGGCTCAGCCTCTTTACAGGGCAGGCCTCAGCCCTGGGTTTGTCACAGTCTGGCCTTGAACTTGCCTTTCTTACGGGTGATAGGAATTGTTCCAACTTCAAAGGGCAGAGGCAACGCATTTCCAGGTGGTGGCCTCGGAGGCACAGGGGAGCAGGAACCTCGATGTGAAAGGAGGGGAGAAGAGGGAGATGATCAAGAGTCTGTTGAGGAAGCTCTTCCCTTGGGATGCCAGCCAGCCTGGGAGCTGCATTCTGCCTGTGCCCTCCAGCCCTGACCCCATGCTCAGCACTGCCCACTGGTTGTGAGTCATAGTTCGAGGCCCACCTTTCTTAGCTTCAGGATGCTGGGTGCCACCTTGAAATCAAGGTTAGGTGGGAGGGAAATGAAGACCTTGGGCGTGGGTAGAGTCCTCAAGGCCTTGCCTGTGATCCACAGGGCCTTAGTGCCCACCAGCTTGCTGTGCTGTTGTCTGAGGACCTGGCCCTGGTGTTGGAGTACTTGGGGAGAAGGCAGCTGGGCCTTGGTGTGGAGGCTGGGGAAATGGTGAGGGGCTGTGGGAGCAAGAGAAACTGTGAGGGCCTGCGGAGGCCCCAAGGTGGCCCAGCTGCCCTATGCGGTGTGTGTAGAGGATGGGGATGTGGAGGGGGTGGGGTAAGGGCAGATGGAGCCTTCCCAGTTCCTCCTCCAGAGGCAGTGAGAAGAACACAGGGCAGAGTCCAACAGACCTGGGTCTGCATCCCAGCTCTGCCCCTTCTGAGCTGTGCCACCTTGGGCAACTTCCAACTTCCTGATACCTCGGCTGGAAAATGGGGATAATAGCACCTAACTTGCTAGGTTGGTGTGAGGCCTAAAGGAGCTCGTAAGGTAGTAACACGGGGCAAACTGTTAAGTGTTGGACACATGTTAGTTTTTTTCCCCAGAGGTGACTCTGCTTGGACGCAAAGGCAGAATACTGCAGTGGCAAAGCATGGGTGCTGGAGAGAGCAACGTGGGCTTGAGTCCTGGCATCTTTGAAAGCAGGATAACTGCCTTGCAGAGTGACTACTCTGGAGGACACAATACTCATTTTGCCAAGTGGTTTTTTTTTTTTTTTTTTGAGATGGAGTTTCGCTCTTGTCCCCCAGAGCGGAGTGCAATGGTGCAATCTTGAGTGACTGCAACCTCCTTTTCCCAGGTTCAAGCAATTCTCGTGCCTCAGCCTCCGGAGTAGCTGGGATTATAGGTGCCTGCCACACCTGGCTAATTTTTGTATTCTTTAGTAGAGACGGGGTTTCACCATGTTGCCCAGGCTGGTCTCGAACTCCTGACCTCAGGTGATCCACCTGCCTCAGCCTCCCAAAGTGCTTTTTGCTTGTTTGTTTGAATACAGCATCTCGCTGTCTCCCAGACTGGAGTTCAGTGGTGTGATCATAACTCACTGTACCCAGGACCTCCCCAGGCTCAAGTGATCCTCCTGCCTTAGCCCCCTAAGTAGCTGGGACCACAGGGTCACGCCACCACACCCAGCTAATTTAGCTGTGTATTTTTAAAGAATACTTTGTGAGCAGTGGCTTTTACTTGGTACTGGTGGCTCTATGGTGGGAAGGCCGATCCAGGTGGTTGGAAGGAGCCTATGGAGCAGGAATAAATCGCCTTGGGACACTCGGGTGTTTTGGGGGAATGGTCTTACCCAGGGCCTGGGGGTTTTTCGGACTCAGTGGCAATCTGTTCAAGGGTTGAGGTTGCCTGTCCCACTAGAAAAGGTCATGGTGAAAATGCACCCCAATCTGGTGCTGGAGGAATCCCATTCCCGGAGACTGGGGCAGACCAGTGCTGTGGTACTTTTTGCCTTGCCTTTCTTCCCCTTTCCGGGGTCTGAAGTGGTGGCAGTGGAGTCTGGCTTCTCACTGTGCTCCAGGCTCCTGGCCCCAGCATCTTTCCTAGAAGCTGACCTGTGGGTAGGGGTCCCCGAGTCCTTGTCTTCCCCAGAGCTTCTCTGGCTCAGCAGGGGGAGTGCTGGGTGGACCCCCATCCGCCGATGACACATCACCATGGGCTTCTTGATGGTGGAGCCCTCTACCAGGAGCTGGATGCCCACATATCGGGGCACTTCCACAGCAGGCTGTGGGCAAGAAGAGGAGACAAGGCCTACTCAGTCAGTGGTCCTGGAATCCTTAGCCCAGCAGGACCCAGGGCAGAGACGGGTGGAATTACTTTCTGAGGCACCGGGTCAAAAAGACATTTCTGAGCTGAGAAATGGAAAGTCCACCTCTGAGTCAGTACCTAGAGTCACAGAGCTCCAGGGATTGCTAGCCCAGAGGAATGGAGGAAACCTAGCCATGCCCCACCAGCACCCCTTTACCACACTGTCCTAAGCTGCCCCCAGCCCCTGCTGGAGTGTGTGTGGCTCCGCTGCACAGGCTGCCGCTGGTGCATAGCTCTCTGAGCTGAGCCAATCAGATTCTCTGCACAGGGAATTTGAGTTATGCCACTCAGACAAGTAAGCGGCTTGGAGCCTGCCTAGAGCCTCGTGTGAACCCAGTTTATAGGGAAGCAGAAATTAAGAACCTTAAAGAAGACAGTCTGTGGAGAGAATGAAGTAGCGAATATGCAGAGGAAGGTAGAGAGAAAGGTCCAAGAGAGGAGCTCCCTTACAACTCTCAGTTCCTATCAGGCCAAGCTGTATGTCCTGCCCTCAGCTGGGCTCCAGGAGAGCTCCCTGTGCCTTGCCAGCAACCTGGAGCTAGTTGGAGGTGTCTTCTGTGCCACTGAAGGATCCTGATCAGTATCTATCTAAACATCAGAATTATTTGGAGCTTGTTAAAAATACAGCTATCAGCCGGGCACAGTGGTCACATCTGTAATCCCAGCACTTTGGGAGGCTAGGGCTGGCAGAACACCTAAGTTTAGGAGTTTGAGACCAGCCTTGCCAACATGGCGAAACCGTCTCCACTAAAAATACAAAATAATTAGCTGGGCATGGTGGCAGGCACCTGTAATTCCAGCTACTGAGGAGGCTGAGCAAGGAGAATCACTTGAACCCAGGAGGTAGAGCTTGCAGTGAGCCCAGATGGCACCATTGCATCCAGCCTGGGCAACTAAGAGTGAAACTCTATCTCAAAATAATAATAATAATAATACAGCTATCACCAGGTACAGTGGCTATGCCTATAATCCCAGAACTTTGGGAGGCCGAGGTGGGTGGATCACCTGAGGTCAGGAATGATCATGACCTCATGTTGACCAGCCTGGTCAACATGGCGAAACCCCGTCTCTACTAAAAACACAAAAATTGGCCAGGCGCGGCGGCTCACGCCTGTAATCTCAGCACTTTGGGAGGCCGAGGCAGGTGGATCACGAGGTCAAGAGATCAAGACCATTCTGGTCAACATTGTGAAACTCTGTCTCTACTAAAAACACAAAAAAATTAGCTGGGCATGGTGGCGTGTGCCTGTAATCCCAGCTACTCTGGAGGCTGAGGCAGGAGAATTGCCTGACCCCAGGAGGCGGAGATTGCAGTGAGCCAAGATCACACCATTGCACTCCAGCCTGGGTAACAAGAGCGAAATTCTGTCTCAACAAAAAATAATAATTAATTAATTAATTAAAAAAAAATATATATATATATATATATATATATATAACTTTCAGCACTCCTGAGTAGCCCCAGATGATGAGAGAAAGCTCATCTTTACAGAAGAATCTCAGCTAATAAATGCAGACGAAACAACAGAATTAGACATTCGATGTTTTGCAACTCTAATAAAATAGGCAGTAATCAAAACTAGTATCAAAACAATTAGATAAAAGAATGACAGGAAAATGTATAATCTGGACACAGCCAACACATTACCTTACAAAAAAATTAATTGCAAAGGGGAGATGTAGCTTTTATTATGGAGACATCTGGTAGCCACCATTGTAACCCAGAGTCAAACTCAGCAGCACTAACCGTGAGACACTCACAGGATGTGCCTTGTGATGCCACATGACGTACCTGGCATCACCTCTGAAGTGCTCTTGCCAGAAATGTTTAACCTGAACTCATCAAGCTGTTTGACCTAACTAATAAGTTCTGAGACAATCAGCTAACAGAAGACCAAGGTAAATAACACCATAAGGAAACAATCAGATAAATCCAGAATGCGGGACAGTTCTACAAAACAAACAGCCTGGCCCCTCAAAAGATCAAAACTATGGGGACAAAAGGCACTGGGGCTAGCCTAGATGAAAAGGGGCAAAAAAGTGCAAGGTGTGAGCCTTCATTATGTGCTGGCCTAAAGAACAAATCAGCAATAAAAAACATTTAGGGGGCTGGGCGCAGTGGCACACGCCTATATTCCCAGCACTTTGCAGGGGCCGAAGCAGGAGGATCACTTGAGGTCGAGAGTTCAAGACTGGCCTGGCCAACATGGTGAAATCCCATTTCTACTAAAAATACAAAAGTTAGCCAGGCATGGTTGTGGGTGCCTATAGTCCCAGCTACTCAAGAGGCTGAGGCAGGAGAAACACTTGAACCTGGGAGGTGGAGGTTGCAGAGCCAAGATTACACCATTGCACTCCAGCCTGGGTGACAGAGTGAGACTCCGTCTCAAAAAAAAAAAAAAAAGTTATTTGGGAGTCATTTGACAAATGCAGATGTGTAGTCTCCTTCCCAGGCTAGACATTTTGGATTTTGGGTCAGTCTCTGGGGTGGAGCCCCCTGACATCCATAGCAGCTTTCAGCTGCTTCTAGCCTGGGCACTGGCATTGGGAGCCCTGCACTACAATGGCACTTTTTCCCTCAGCTTGCCTGTGTATTTCCCCATTTACATTTTTTGAAACCAAATTGCCAATATATTAATTTAAGAAATGATCTATAACTGTAATAAAGACAAGATCTTTATCACACTTACGTGTGATCATTACATTCTCTTCCTGTAACCAAACCTTGACAGAAGCTAAATGCTAATCAGAAGCCACTTAAACTGCCACAAGAAATTCTATCCAGAGCTTAGAAAGTCTTGAAATCAATTTTATAATTTTTTAAAATGCTGTTCTATTTTACAAATAGATTCCAATCTCTTTTTGGAGCAAGATGAGTGAAATAATGATAATATTAATAATAAGAATGGTAGCTACCAGTAATTGCCTATTACTGTATATCCAGGCACTTGACAGGTTATGCATGTCCTAACCTCATTAGGTAATAACAACAATAGCTAAAACTTATTAGCATTTACTATATGCCAGGCACTATTCTAAAGTACTTTACTGGCTGGGCGAGGTGGCTCCTGCCTGTAATCCCAGCACTTTGGGAGGCCAAGGTGGGTGGATCACCTGAGGTCAGGAGTTCGAGACCAGCCTGACCAACATGGTAAAACCCTGTCTCTACTAAAAATACAAAAATTAGCCAGGTGTGGTGGCGGATACCTGTAATCTCAGCTATTTGGGAGGCTGAGGCAGGAGAATTGCTTGAACCTGGGAGGTGGAGGTTGCAGTGAGCCAAGATTATGCCAGTGCACTCCCACCTGGGCAACAGAGACGGGCTGTATTTACTCTGTCTCAAAAGTAAATAAATAAAAATGAAGTACTTTACTTATCAACTCATTTAATTCATACAACTCATAGTATCTAACTTTGATAATTAAGTACTATTTTTATTTATTTATTTATTTATTTTTTTAGACAGAGTCTTGGTCTGTGGACAAGCGCCAGGCTGGAGTGCAGTGGCACAGTCTCGGCTCACTGCAACCTACGCCTCCTGCTTTCAAGCAATTCACCTGCCTCAGCCTCCCGAGTTGCTGGGACTACAGGTGTGTGCCACCATGCCCTTCTATTTTTTTTGTATTTTTAGTAGAGACAGGGTTTCACTATGTTGGCCAGGATGGTCTCGATCTCTTGACCTCATGATCTGCCCGTCTCGGCCTCCCAAAGTGCTGGGATTACGGGTGTGAGACACCGCGCCCGGCCTATTTTTATCCTTACAGATGAGGAAACCCAGGGGTTAGGAATTTGTCCAAAGTCACACAGCTTGTTGTCACTGAACAGGAATTTGAACCCATATGTTATATGCCTCTCTAGAAATATCCACATATACTAATTCATTTTATTCTCCCATCCCCATGAGAAAGATGGTAATAATATCCCCATTTCAAAGATCAGGAGCCTGAGGCTCAGGGAGGTGAGGCCACCTTAGCAGGACCAGGACTTGAATCTGGGTCTTAAACTGGGTCTGACTGCAGAGCGCTATGCTCCAGTACGGGGCTGCCTGGAAGAGGGCACAGACTCTCTGGGGTTCTGCCTGGGTCCGACCTCCTCACCTGTTTATAGATGAGCTCAAAGGCTCCTGTGTCACAGTTGTGGTCCAGCCGCCGGTCAATGACGACTCGCAGGGTGTCAGCTTGCACACCAGCACAGAGCTGGGCAGTGACTGCTGTGGAGGGTGCCATGGTGGGGTTGGCATTGATTTCAATCAGCCAGGGCTGGAAGTCCTCCCCGAACACAAAGTCAGCGCCATAGAGCTCAAAGCTGGCCTTCCGACACTGCACAGTGTCCTGGGAGGTCTGAAGTGCATGGATCACAGCATTCTTCATGCCAGGCACGATGACGGTGGACCAAGCATTTGGGGCCCCCATCTCCTGCAAGTGAGCCTGGAACCTCTGGCTGGACCACATGTTGTCTGGAGGCAGCAGTGGATGCCGATGGCATGAGTTCTCCAGGTGCTTCTGGATGGAGTTGTTGCACAGGTGCACTGATCTGGGGAAGAGAACAGAAAGCTGAGGTCCAGGCCCTTGTGCCCCTCTCATCCAAGCTCAGGGAAGCAGGCAAATCCTGGAACCAGCCCTGGGCCACCCTGCACTGTTCAACTTGAGATAGGGCCCTACTGGGAAGGACAAAAAAAACAGAGGCCTGGGCCCCACCACATTCTTCTAAGGCCAGAACCACCCTTATCTTTGAGGGCTGCTCTGAGGGTGCCAATTACAGGAGCCACAGTACTAAGGGCTTTGTGCATAGTCTCAGTTAACCATCCCAGTGCTTGGAAGATGAGAGGGTGGGTAAGGGTATGGCCCCGTCATCACCAGGATGCCATCTCCACACTAGTTGTGAGATCTTAGGCAAGTCATCTAACCTGCATGCTCTTCACATCTGCAAAATGGGGGTAGTAACAGTACCCACTTCATTGTGGTTTTTTTTTTCCTTCAGACCTGGTGAACCAGAAGTATTCATTGGATTCTTATGAAGAATGAGATAATATATACAAAGTGCTCAGCACTATCACATATGAAGCACTCAATAATTGATAGCTATGAGTTTCAAACTACTGCCTCCCTTCTTCAGATGTGGAAACTGAGACTTAAATAGGTTTTCACGTGACCCAGAGTCAAACAACTTGGAAGCTGTAGAGACAGAATTCAAATTTAGGCTTCAAAGCTTTCTCTCACCCCAGAAGTTAATACAACATCTTGCCTTTCAAAACTCCTGACCTCCTTTCCCCTGCTCTACATTTGCTTCCCTTTTCCCCACAATGACACATATAATCTTTTAACCTGTTAGATAATTTCACTTGCGTTCATTGCTTCTTATTTCTCCCTGCTAGAATGTACCCTTGTGAGTTGGGATCTTGTTTTGTTCACTGCTATATCCCAAGTGCCCAGAACAGTAATGGCACAGGGTACACACTCAAGTCAAATCTGTTGGAGGGACCAAGAACAGTGTAATCCTAGCACTTTGGGACGCCGAGGTAGGACGATCACTTAAGCCCAAAAGTTTGAGACCAGCCTGGGCAACATAGTGAGACCTCATCTCTAAATGAAAAAATTTAAAAGTCAGCTGTGGTACATGCCTGTGATCTCATCTACTTAGAAGGCTGAAGAGGAAGGACTGCTTGAGCACAGGAGGTCGAGGCTGCAGTAAGCCATGACCATGCCATTGCACTCCAGCCTAGGCAACAGAGTGAGACTGCTCCATCTGTTGAAAAAAATAAATATATGTTGGATGCAAGGACAGCTGGCTGGATGCGGCCTCTGCCTGCCTGCAGCGTGTGTATGGAGCCCACCGCTGCTGCACAAGTCCCCTACACTGTAACCACCTGTTTGCTTGCCTGCTCCCCAACTAGGCAGGGAGCTCGTGGGAGGCAAGCAGTGGGGCTCACTTGTCTAAGTTCTTCAGGGAGAACGGCTGCGTGGAAAAGCGGAGATAGCTGTCACGGTAGAACCACACGGTAAGTGGGTTCCAGTCAGTTACCAGGAACCACTGTCTCAGGTCAAACTTGGTGCCAAAGATGAGCAGGGGCCGCTCAATATACTTTTGTACCACCCATTTGCTGTCCATCATCATGGGCTTGCCGTTCACCAGCTTAAGTATCTCCTCCAGGTGGTCCATGCACATGATGCCTATGCAGGAAAAGAGCAGTCAGGGATTGGGAAGTCAGACATGGGCTGGGAGAAGGGCCAGTTTGTCATGAGCTCTCATCCACAGAGCTGACAGGGCTGCATGGGTAAGGCTGCCTCCCTCAATTAGAACCCAGTTCCCTTTGGAAAAGCCAGGAATTTGCTAAGGATTTAAAATTTTTCCCAATTAACCAGTTTTGTTTGATTAAACAGGAATATGTATCTGAATAAAAATTTAAAGTGTTGGCCTTTTTTGTTTTTTAGTTTTTGGGATAGTCTCCCTCTGTCATCCAGGCTGGAGTGCAATGGCATGAGCTCAGCTCAGTGCAACCTCTGCCTCCTGGGTTCAAGTGATTCTCCTCCCTCAGCTTCCCGAGTAGCTGGGATTATAGGTGCCTGCCACCATGCCAGGCTAAGTTTTTTATTTTTAGTAGAGACAGGGTTTCACCATGTTGGCCAGGCTGGTCTCCAACTCCTGACCTCAAGTGATCCTCCCGCCTCAGGGTCCCAAAGTGCTAGGATTACAAGTGTGAGCCACTGCACCTGGCCAGTGTTGGGCTTTTTTAAAGCATGTGCATATTGCTTTCCCACCAATAATAAACAGACTATAAAACCAAAAATTAGACAGTACAAAAGGGCATACAATAACAAGTACATCTCCTTGTCCAGAGGCAGCCAACTGCTGCTTCCAGGTCCTTATGGATATCCTTCCGGGCCATGTCAGAGTCTACATGTGCTCAGTTTCCCTGCATTGTATCAATTAAAGCATGTTAAGGATTTGGAATAGTGCTTTAGATGCATGACTGCATTTACTCCTCACCTCACAGGAGGTATTATCATCCTCCTCATTTCACAGATGATGTTATATCACCTCAGGGAGGTGATATAACCTGCTAAAGGTCATGAAGAATATTAGTAGCAGAGCTGGGACTCAAACCCAAGCAATTTGGCTTCAATAAGACTGCACTATTCACTTCCTTGGCCTCTAGTGGGAGATGCAGGTTGTAGGGTGCCGGCGCAGGAAGTAGGAGCTGACCCCCACCTCGTCCGCGAGACTTGGCTCCTGGTTTCACGATCCAGATGTTGCGATCCCCTTCCATGTTTATCTGGGGTACCACAGCCCGCAGCTGCTGCAGGATGTCCTCACAGTGCTGGACCTGAGTGTCGTGGTGCCTGAGTTCTGCCCCTTTGCTGTGGAGAAATGATGGAACTTGGGACATGTGGGTGGAGAGGGTAAGAGGAGACATAGCCCACCCACCATCATCCAGGCAGCTTTGGTCACCCCCTCCCTGCAGATCTTGATAGGTCCCTCCCAAGCCTCCAGCCCCACCCTCAAGCCACCCCTGAAATCCTAACCTGCCCAGACTACAGGAATCAGAAAGGTTGATAAAATTCCATTTACCGCACCCCCTACTCCAACACTCCACCTGTGCCACCCTCTTCCTATTACATTAAAACTGTCTGACAGAATGTAATCATTCCAGTTCCTAATGATGGAGCACCACTATGCGCCAGGCACTGTGTGACAAGCACTTTCCATACATTATCACTAATCCTCTCAAGGCCGTGCCAGGGAACTGCTGGGACCTGTCCCCCACCCCCTGACCTTTTTTTTTTTTTTTTTTTGAGACAGGGTCTTGCTCTGTCACCCAGGCTGGAGTGCAATGATGCAATCATGGCTCACTGCAGCCAGGAACTCCTGGGTCCAACCCTCAGCCTCCCAAGTAGTTGCAACTACAGGCATGCACCGCCACACCCAGGCTAATTTTTTTTTTGCAGAGATGGGTCTTATATTACCTAGGCTGGTCTTGAACTCCTGGCCTCAGGCAATCCTGCCTCAGCCTCCCAAAGTACTGGGATTACAGGCATGAGCTACCTTATCTAGCCCTGGTCCCATTTTAGAGAAATATAAACTGGGCCAGGTGCAGTGGCTCATGCCTATAATCCCAGCACTTTGGAAGGCCAAGGTGGGCAGATCAGGAGCTCCAGGCCAGCCTGGCCAACATGGCAAACCCCCATCTCTACTAAAAATACAAAAATTAGCCAGGTATGGTGGCGTGTGCCTGTAATCCCAGATACTCGGGAGGCTGAGGCAAGAGAATCGCTTGAACCCAAGAGGCAGAGGTTGCAGTGAGCCAAGATTGCACCACTGCACTCCAGCCTGGGCAATAGAGCAAGGCTCCATCTCAAAAAAAAAAAAAAAAAAAAAAAAAAAAAAAGGAAAAAAAGAAAAAGCAAAGAAAAGCAAACTGAAGCTTTGAGAGTTAAGGAACTTACCCAAGGCCACACACTGAGAGTTGAATGGTTCCTCCAGGATTCAAACTGTCCTGTCTGATTCCTTCACCTACAGGTGCTTTTTGAGGTTCATTCCCCTCTTAAATCTGGGCCTAACATTGGCTGATGCAATGTTAGCCTAATTTCTTTCAAGCACATCTGTATCACGCCTTTTCTTGCTTGTTTTCTCCTCATCATTTACCCCCACCTGACACATCTGCTTATTTGGTTCTAGTTAGGGATGCAGAATGTAACTAGAATGTAAACTCCGTAAGAGTAGGAACATTTTTTGCAGTTGTTCTCTGCTCTATTCCCCATCCCCAAGCACCATACCTGGCACTCAGCAGGTACTCCCTAAAAGTTTGCTCAATGAATGAATGGCTGCCTCAGCAAGTATTTTGGCAGGAGCTTGCCTCAGCAACTGGACTGCACAGACAGGGGTTCATGGACAAAGAGGGACAGAAAACGTCCTGTTTTCTACAGGACAGAAAATGTCCTGAACTAAACCAAGTCACAAAATACCCCAGATTGCATCTGATCCAGACTCTCCCATTTCTTTTCTTCTGACTGAATAGGACAGGAGTCTCCTATTCAGAGGAAGCTAACTCTGTGACACTTTTGCATCTTGAATGTTACCAGTTGTGGAGAACTTGCTCTTTTTTAAGGAGGAGGCAGCAGCCACTGGGGCAGTGCCAGGAACAGGGACAGCCAGATGCAGGGGGCTTGGCAAGGTCTCCTAGGAGTACTCACACTTAACATCCTGACAAACTTCTCTGTGGCCCATAGCATGAAGTATCTAGTCAGTACAGTAGTCTGTGATGTGGCCCAGAAAAATGTCACACAGGAGTGGCAGGAGCATGTGTAATTTGAAAAAGTATATTCAACATGACAATATGATTTTATAGTTAATGAAAAGAAAAAACACCAGTATTTTACTGAAAAGTCAGCCTTGATGAAAACCTGGCTGGCTTAGTTCTTAAAATCCAGTATTAGAAAAACAACAACAAAAACTGGCTGGGGAGGCAAGGATATTTTTGTTTGTTTGTTTTTGAGATGGATTTTTTTTTTTTTATATGGAGTCTCCTGTCTCAGCCTACCTAGTAGCTACAGGCATACGCCACCATGTCCAGTATTTTCAGTAAAGACAGGGTTTCAGTAGATTGGCCAGGCTGGTCTCGAAGTCCTAACTTCGTGATCCACCCACCTCGGCCGCCCAAAGTGCTGGGATTACAGGTGTGAGCCACCGTGCCCAGTGGATTTTTTTTTTTTTTTAAAGTTGAGAAGCATAACAGTAAATATTGAATGGATCAGGCTGGGTGCAGTGGCTCACGTCTGTAATCCCAGAACTTTGGGGGACTGTTTGAGCTCAGGAGTTCGAAACCAGCCTGGCCAATGTGGTGAAACCATGTCCTTACAAATATAGATATATATAATACTAAGCACACTAAGATTAGCTAGGCCTGGTACCACATACCCATAATCCTATCTACTCAGAAGGCTGAAGTGGGAGAATCACTTGAGCCTGGGAGGCAAAGGTTGCAGTGAGATAAGACTGCACCACTGCACTCCAGCCTGGGCAACAGACTGAGACTCTGTTTCAAAAAAATAAAAAGAAAATATTGCCAGGTGCGGTGGCTCACACCTGTAATTCCAGCACTTTAGGAGGCCAAGGTGGGTGAATCACCTGAAGTCAGAAGTACGAGACCAGCCTGACCAACATGGAGAAACCCCGTCTCTTTTAAAAAAATAAAAAATAAAATTAGCCGAGCATGTTGGCATATGCCTGCAATCCCAGCTACTCTGGAGGCTGAGTTAGGAGAATCATTTGAACCCAGGAGGCAGAGGTTGTGGTAAGCTGAGATGGCACCATTGCACCCTAGCCTGGGCAACAAGAGCAAAACTCCGCCATACACACACACACACACACACACACACACACACCACACACACTAATAAATAAGTAAAATATTGAAGGAATGAATGAATGCTGGTCATTTGTACTGAACCAATCAACACTGTGTATGTCTATTATATGATGCAATCTTTTATGAAATCCCGACTTTAGAGAGGGTCCTATAGCCCTCTAGAACTTGCCCCCACATACCAGAAATAAAAAGGACTCATATGTTTTACAATTAATGTTCTAAGCCTTGATTTTTCTTTTCTTTCTTGAGACAGAGTCTCACTCTGTCATCCAGGCTGGAGTGCAGTGGTATGATTCAGCTTGCTGCAACCTCTGCCTCCCGGGTTCAAGCCATTCTCCTGTCTCAGCCTCCCAAGTAGCTGGGATTACAGGAGTGTGACACCATCCCAGCCAATTTTCATATTTTTAGTAGAGATGGGGTTTCAACATGTTGGCCAGGCTGGTATTGAACCCTTGACCTCAAGTGATCTGCCCATCTTGGCCTCCCAAAGTACTGGGATTATAGGTGTGAACCACTGCCCCTGACCGCCTTGATAACTCTTAATTTAAGCTGGGTAGCTTTACTGTGGGAACAAGGGCTACACTTCATTTCTGGAACCTGGCATAATCCTTGGCACATAGTAGTTGCTCAAAAGTTGTTTACTATGTGTTCTGCCTTAGTCTATTCTCCCTCTAGTCCCTTCTGCATGCTTCTGCTGAATGGAATCTCCCTAAAGCAGCACCAGGCTCACCCTGATCCTCCCTTCTTCTACCTAAGAACCTTTTCCCAAAGTGTGTTCTGAAAACACTGCCCCTCAGGATGCTTGCGGGGAGGCAGGGCACTGGGCTCACTTAAGTACAGGATATGCTGCACACTCTCTCTATAGGCTTGCACCACCTATAGGTTCCAAAGAGTCCTGCACCGGGAAGGCCTCTAATTAACTGCTTAATCCAAGGTTTTCCCAATATGATGGACCACAAAAGCCCTTTTTTCATAAAATCTATTTACTTACTGTAGAATTAACCTCTGTGCACACACTTTGGGCAATGTGCTGTCCACTTGGCGGCACATGCTCTTAGTGACTATGCTATGCCAAGAACCAGAAAGAGTGGCCCAGACCCTATTATGGAGGCAGTGGGAGTCCTTGAGGGTTCCTGAGCAGAAGAGCAGCAGGGCAAACAAGAGCCGGAGGCTTGGTGAAGGAGTGGGGGCTGCATGAGACAAAGAGGGTCTGTCCCTAAGCACCTGCCCTCAGCCCAAAGTCCCAGCTGCAGGGTACTCACTGGACCACTTGGTAGTAGCACTGGAGGAAGAGGGACCAGTCCTTGGGGCTGAAATACAGTGGGGCCTCCAGGTCCTTGTCGATGTCCATGTGGGCCAGGTTGCTAAGGTACTCCTCGCACGCACACAGAGCTTTATCCACAAACTCTGGGGACACCAACACTTGGTTTTTCTCCTGTTTCTTGGGCTGCTTGTCTCCTTCACATAGGGAGGGGCCTGTCATGATCCCACATCAAGGCAGGTAATCTGACACATGCCACAGCCCCCATTGTCCTAAGGCCTGTCACTTACCTGAGGCACAGCACGAACCTATGTAGATCCCCTACTGCCCTGGGATGTGTCACTTAGCTGAGGCTTTGCTCTAAATTCACTGCAACTCTAGCACCTGCCCTTGGCTTCCACTGTCCCAGGACCTGTCACTCACTAAAGGCTCCACCCTAAGTGTCCCCAAGGCCTCTAACAGCACCTATAGCCATGGCACACACCTGCAGCCTCTCTGCCCCTGGGACCTCTGACACACCCGAGGCTCTGCCTAAAATGCACCTGGGAGCTTTGGCCTATGTGAACTCACTTATACATGAATACCCCTCCCCCAAGTCTGACACAGCTCCTTAAGTCCACACACTAGGAGTCCAGACCCATTCCCAGAATCTTGATAAAGAGCTACAACCCTTAGCCCACAGAAACACTAACCTCTGTGTGCACTGCTACTGCACAAGGCCCTGACACACACCTGAAAGTGATTACAGAAACTGACCCTTCAGAAGACCCCGTGCACACCCACAAACCTGACTCACCCCTGAACATCGCAATGCTCTAAAGATCCTCATATACAACTGAGGCCCTCAGTCTGACCTATACCATAAAAGCTTAAGCACAGGGTCTCTGGCCACACCTGAGGCCCTTGGACCCCTTATCCTGGCACACAACCAAGCCTTCCTTGTACGTGACACACACAAGAGACAGCAATGGGGAGATCTCCCTCTGGAAGATGCAGGACTGTCCTCCTTCCTAGAGAGCTGCCTCTACTTCCCTGAATCCCACGCTGATGGGTCCCTGGATTACAGGACTAGAAACCTGGAGACGGGAGCTAAATCCAGAAAGGAAAAGGCCAGGCAGTGGTTGGCTGGCATGCAGTGATAGTGAGCATTCCTCTGTGTCCCCCTCCAATCCCAGCTGTTCCTTCTGTTCAGGCCCAAGGTGTCCTTAGGCCATGTGTAAAGCCCGGTTTTGCTGCTTCCTTCTCCTCAGAGACCTGAAGCCCTCTCCAGGACGCTCAGCCACATGCCAGGCCCATGGGAGGGCTGAATGAGGAGTGGATCAACTAACAAATAGATGGGAAGACAAGTGTCTACATACCTGGGACAGAAAAATGGATGAGTAGATGGACTGGAAGACAGATAGGCAGGGGAGAGGAGAATGGAATAGGAGGTAGAGAGATGGGCTGATGGATCTGTGGAAGGATAGGTAGGCAGGGAGTGGATAGTTGGATGGGGAGTATGAAGCTGACGTCAGGTAGGTGAATGAAGAGATTAACAAAGGGTGACAGGTGAGAGGATGGAAGGATGAGTGGAAGGGTGGGTGGGTAAATTGGTAGATCAAAGAGTGGGTGAATAAGTGGGTGGATGGGTGAATGGATGGATGGATGGATGGGTGGGTGGATGGATGGGATGGATGGGTGGATGGATGGATGGGTAGATGTGAATCATACACAGATGTGTGGATGAACAAGTAGGTGGGTGGATGGATGGATGGATGGGTAGATGTGAATCATACACAGATGTGTGGATGAACAAGTAGGTGGGTGGATGAATAGATAGGTGGAAGGGCAGATCAGTGGAAGGACAGATGGGTGGAGGATAAATGAGTGGGAGAGTGGAGATAAGCACAGTACTTACCTGTGGCTTCTTCCTCTTCTGCCTGTATAGGGTATGACTTCCACTCAGACTTTACCACCAGCTTGAGAACGTTGCGGGCAGCTGTCAGCCAGAAGTCTTCTGCTCCCGGGGCATGGGATACCCTGCTCAGCCTCTAGGCTTGAGGCCTGTTCTGGTTCTAGAACCTGATCTTGACTTGTCCCATTTTGGATCTGGAATCTGACTCTACCTTTTCTGACTCTAGAGCCTGAGTTTAGAACTTGCTCCTGTTTCAGTTGTGGAACCAAACCCCAAATCTTACCTGACTTGGCTCATATTCTACCTTCAGAATCTGGCCTGGACCCACTGTCTGATTTATTTCATCTGTTCATGATCTATTTTTAATACTTATTCTATCCCGAGAACCAGACTGTATCCTACTTCAGATTTCGAATGTAATTTAAACCTGGCATAGAATCTGGATCCAAATTCTAACCTGAATTTAGAACATATTGTGGAATTGGAACCTAGTCTGCCTTAGAAACCCAAAGCCTGCTGCCTTCTTTGGAACCCAATTCAACTAGTGGAACTTGACATAAGCCTGGAATCTGTTCTGGATTCCAAACTCAAGGGACTGAGCAACTTTTAGAACCTGTTCTACAATATAAACCATGCTACCTGAGCTTTTCTGGAGGTCAGAGTTGACCAGACTAAGGGGCTCATTAAGGGAGGACACATTAGGGAAGGATAAAGATTGAGGGTAGGGAAGGAAGTCTGCTGGGACAGATAAGGGCATGAAGAGAGTCCTGCTGCTCTCCAATATGAGCTACGTCTTTAGCCCTGCTCCTTCAGCCTCAGGTCCAGGCATGGGGCTGGGGTCTCCTTACCTATGAAGGCTTTTTTGTCATCCTCAGCCCCCAGGCGGTAGCAGCGTGGGAAGAAGGAGTCAGCATCAGCCTCATAAAACCATGGCAAATTCCGGAGATTGAGACATAGACCCACCTATGGAGTTAGCCGCTGAGGGGGCAGGACAGGACTGCCCACACTCAGCACACATCCAGACAGCTCAGAAAGCATCCCACCCGGATGCTCTCAGAGCCTTGGGCCCACTCGCTTGGTCTGACTTGCTCACATCTATCACTGTATGTTTGCCTGGGCCACGAATGTCTGACATCCCTCCTGTCCACCCTTTCACATTCTTAAAGAGCTGCCAAGGCCAGGTGCGGTAGTTCACACCTGTAATCCCAGCACTCTGGGAGGCTGAGGTGGGAGGATTGTCTGAGGCCAGAGGCCAGGAGTTCAAGACCAGCCTGGGCAACATAGCAAGACCCCATCTCTTAAAAATAAAACAAAAAAAGAGCTGCTTCCTCTAGAATCCTTCTTAACCCACATCAATAATATAATGGCAGGTCATTATTATAAAGCCCTTCGTCCTTGCCACAACCCCAGAAGATAGGCCTTACTGATATTCTCATTGAAAGGTGAGGAAACTGAGACTCAGAGAGGCAAAGTTACTTAATAAGAAACCCAGGTAAGGCTGGGCATGGCGGCTCATGCCTGTAATCCCAGCACTTTGGGAAGCGGAGGGAGGTGGATCACCTGAGGTCATGAGTTGGAGACCAGCTTGGCCAACATGGTGAAGCGCCGTCTCTACTAACAAATACAAAAATCAGCCAGATGTGGTGACATGCACCTGTAGTCACAGCTACTCAGGAGGCTGAGGCAGGAGAACTGCTTGAACCCAGGAGACAGAGGTTGCAGTAGGCCGAGATTGCACCACTGAACTTTTCTCAAAAACAAAATAAAACAAAACAAAAACAAAGAAACCTAGGTAAGACAGAATGGGTCCATTAGCCAGATATCTTTGGCTTAGGAGGTAAGAGCCTGCTTGTTCACTATCACTGGACTTGGTGACTGTTCTACCTCCAGACCCATTTGAATGCTGGAACATATTTTAGTCACTATGTCTATACATGCCAGATACCGCACAGGGGTTGGATTTGAACCAGTCAGATACTGGTCAGACTTCAAATCTGAATTATATACTTCCTCTTGCACTGAGAACTTCCTCTTACTGACAAGGAGAGTGGGGAGCAGAGCTGCCAACCCAAGGGCAAGGAGTTGGAAGCTGCCCTGCCTGCTCTGGGGAGCCTACCTTTGTGGTAAAGGAGCCAGCCCGGGCGTAGTGGTTTATCATCTGATCCTTAGAGAGGAAGCGATAGTCAAGCACGTCCCGCCGAGTGGTCCAGATGAAGTAGGGAGTCTCATTCCGAACCATGCGAGACTAGAGAGAAGGGGAGGAGATAGAAAGAGACCAGTGTGGGTAGCAGGGCTGAAGGCAGCTTCTCCCTGTCCTGCTGAGCAGGGTGGGTGAACAGGAAGGAGAGGATGCAGATGCTTCCAAGGTGGCCTCTAGCCCATACATCATCTTTGTGTAAGGCAAGAAAAGACTTCTCTTCCACCAGGGCACAGGAGGGCAGAGAGCAGGCCAGCCTTTCAACCTCCTTTTGGTCTTAGGGAGGCCAAAGGCTCCCTTCTGCCTCCTTTTGTCACTGTTTAAGGTGTCCTATGAGGCTTGTCATTCTCAGCCTCCAGGCAGTAGCAGTGTGAGAAGGAGTTAGCATCAGCCTCATCAAACCACAACAAATTCCGAAGACTAAGACATAGACCCACCTATGGAGTTAGCCGCTGAAGGGGCAGGGCCCCTAAGGGTGTTCCCAAGCAGTGACAAAGCTACACAACTTGTTTTGGCCCATGGTCATCAGTGACTTGCCCAGGGACAGGACGGTGACTCCAAGCAGATGGGCACACAGCCTGTGACAAAGGCTATCTCATGGACCCCACCTCTCCATCCTTCCTACAACTCTGGGATGTGGGATAATTATTAATAACTAGTGTCAGCATATGTCTTTCTAAGCACCTTTCATGTCAGTTCATTCAAGGCTCACCACAATTCTGTGTGGTAGGGGCTACTGTTATCTGTTTCACAGATGAGGAAACCGAGGCACAGGGAGGCAAGTAACTTGCCCAAGGGCTCATGAGATTGATCCATATGAAGTTGCCAATATTCAACCATTCCTGACATAGAGAAATGGCTTTTTTTTTTTTTTTTTGAGATGGAGTCTGACTCTGTTACCCAGGCTGGAGTGAAGTGGTGTGATCTTGACTCACTGCAACCTCCGTCTCCTGGGTTCAAGTGATTCTTCTACCTCAGCTTCCCTAGTAGCTGGGATTACAGGCATGCACCACCATGCCCAGATAATTTTTTTTTGTATTTTTAGTAGAGACGGGGTTTCACCCTGTTCCCCAGGCTGGTCTTGAACACCTGACCTCAAATGATCTGCCCACCTTGGCCTCCCAAAGCACTGGGATTACAGGCATGACCCACTGTGCCCATCCAGAAATGGCAATTTTGTATAATTCAACTCAGTAAGTGGCACTGCCAGGATGCAAACCTCAACATGCATACCATCACAACCATCTCTTTCAGATTTTTTTGTTTTTTTTGTGGGTTTTTTTTTCTTGAGACAGAGTCTCACTCTGTTGCCTAGGCTGGAATGAGCGCAGTGGTGTGATCTTGGCCCACTGCAACCTCTGCCTCCCAGTTTCAAGCAAGTCTCCTGCCTCAGCCTGCCAAGTAGCTGGGACTACAGGTGCATGCCACCACCCCTAGCTAATTTTTTGTATTTTTAGTAGACACTGTTTTACCAGGTTAGCCAGGATGGTCTTGATCTCCTGACCTTGTTATCTGCCCACCTTGGCCTCCCTCCCAAAGTGCTGGGATTACAGGCGTGAGCCACCGCGCCCAGCCTTTTTTTTTTTCAGATGAAATATCACTTGTTCTGTCACCCAGGCTGCGGTACACCAGTGCAATCTCAGCTCACTACAACCTCTGCCTCCCAGGTTCAAGCAATTCTCCTGCCTTAGCCGCCTGAGTAGCTGTGTTTACAGGTGCCCGCCAGCACACCTGGCTAACTTTTGTATTTTTATTTTTGAGATGGAGTCTCACTCTGTTGCCCAGGCTGGAATGCAGTGGTGTGATCTCTGGTCACTGCAACCTTTGTTACCCAGATTCAAGCAATTCTCTTGCCTCAGCCTCCCAAGTAGCTGGGATTACAGGCATGTGCCACTATACCCAGTTAATTTTTCTACCTTTTTAGTAGAGATGGGGTTTCACCATGTTGGCCAGGTTAGTCTCGAACTGACCTCAGGAGTTCGAGATGTTCCACCAGCCTCGGCCTCCCAATGTGCTAGGAGTATAGGCATGAGCCACTGTACCCGGCCTTTATTTTATTTTTTGAGATAGAATCTCCCTCTGTCACCCAGGCTGGGGTGCAGTGGTGTGATCTCAGCTCACAGCAACCTCCACCTCCCAGGTTCAAGCAATTCTCCTGCCTCAGCCTCCTGAGTAGGGATTACAGGTGCTTGCCACCACACCCGGCTAATTTTTTTTTTTGGTAGAGACGAGGTTTCACCTTGTTGGCCAGGCTGGTCTCAAACTCCTGATCTCAGGGATCGGCCCCCCTTGGCCTCCTAAAGTACTGGGATTACAGACGTAAGCCACCCTGCTCAGCCTCTTCCAGAGCTTTTGAAGCCCTTCCTTCCTGCCTTCACTTACCAAGAGCAGAAGAAGGGGAACTATGCGGGTTTTTATTTGAAGGGGGAGCTATCATACATGGAGGCTGTGCTGGCATCTGATATGACCTAGCAGAGTTCTGAATCCAGGCCAGATGGGACACAGCCCTGCTGTGTCCCTCCTTACTCTGCAGGCCTAGCCAGCCTTTATTCACTTATTCCTTTTTCAGAGATAGAGTCTTGCTCTGCTGCCCAGGCTGCAGTGCAGTAGCAGGCTCATAGCTCACTGCAGCCTGTAACTCCCAGGTAACCTCCCAAGTAGCTAGGACTATAGGAACACACCACCACACCTGGATAATGTTTTTCTACATTTTTTGTAGAGACTGGGTCTTACTATGTTTCCCAGGCTGGTCTTGAACTCCTAGCCTCAAGTGATCCTCCCACCTCAGCCTCCTCATTAGCTGGGACCACAGGCATGAGCCACCATGCCTAGCTCTATTCAGCCTTTAAAGAGGCAGTTTTTACTATAGATAGGGAAACTGTGGCCCAGAAAAAAAGGACTTGTCTGAGTTCACCCAGCTGGACACCAGTGCTCTCCCTCTAAGCAGGCAGCCCTTGCTTCATCTTGGCCCCCAGGGCCCTCACCATCAGAGAATGTGTTCCATCTAGGTCATCAAATTTCAGTAAATCATCGAAGTCGAACACCTGTGGTGGCTGGAACTCCTCATACTCATCTTCATCCTCTGTGGATGCAGAGCCCAGAGCTGATGAGGCCCCTCTCCCTGACCCATAGCCCATAAGGCCTCCACCCTGGGACAGTGGGAACCAAAGGAAAGGGACTCAGAAGGGACAGCTGCGGAAAGGGAGGGAACAGCTCACCATCCTCAGTGGTGTCACTGTTACCCATCACTGAGCTATCCGGATCCTTCTGGAGTGGCAGCAGGGTGGAGCCTGAGCAATGGACCATCTTCTTCTCCACCCAGCCCCTCTGGCGCAAGAGACACCGGATCACCGGGTAGCGGCCTTGGATGGTAAAGATCTTCTTCTGCTACAAGGTGAGAGATGGATACTTTTAATAAGTATTGCATAAGTGCCAGACATAGGGGATATAAAGGTGAACCAGATAGTTATGGACTCTGCCATCAGAAAATTTTTATATTCCATAGGAGAGACAGACTATAAACAAGTAGAGAAATAAATATGCATGGTAATAATGATAATAGCAATGGCTAATATTTATTGAGGGCCTACTATGTGCTGAGAGCTTACATGCATTACTAACAATACTATGCCTTTTTGCTTTATTTTGTTTGAGCCAGGGTCTCACTCCATTGCCCAGGCAGTATCGTGGCACGATCTTCACTGCACCCTCTGCTCCTAGGTTCAAGCAATTCTCCTGCCTAAGCCTCCCTGAGTACCTAGGATTACAGGTGCGTGCCACCATGCCCAGATACTTTTTTTTTTTTTGAGACGGAGTCTTGCTCTGTCTCCCAGGCTGGAGTGCAGAGGCACAATCTCGGCTCACTGCAGCCTCCACTTCCCAGGTTTGAGTGATTGTCCTGCCTTGTGAGTAGCTGGGAATACAGGTGTGTGCCACCACATCCGACTAATTTTTGTATTTTTAGTAGAGATGGGGGTTTCACCATATTGGCCATGCTGCTCTCAAACTCCTGACCTCAGGTGATCCACCCACCTTGGCCTCCCAAAGTGCTGGGATTAAAAGTGTCAGCTACCACACCTGGCGCCCAGATAATTTTTATATTTTTTGGTAGAGACTCAGTTTCACTGTGTTGGCGCAGGCTAGTCTCGAATTCCTGGCCTCAAGTGATCCTCCTGCCTCAGCCTCCCAAAGTGCTGGGATTAGAGGTGTGAGCCACCATGCCTGGCCAATAGGATGCATTTTTGTTAGATGCTGTTATCCCCTTTTTACTGGCTATGAAACAGAAGCATAGCGAAGTTGAGCAGCCTGCCTCAGGCCATACAATGGTTAAGCAAAAGAGCAGAGATTTAAATCCTGGCAGTTTGGCTCTAGAAATTGCATACTTAATGGGGATTCAGAGAAACTACTTAGAAAAACATGGTCAGGGAAAGTTAAAAGGAAGCCATGAATGTACAGAGCTGGGAAATAAATGGTGGTTCAGGCAGAGGGGAATGCATGTGCAAAGGCCTTGAGGCTGGAGAGAGGTCAGAAGGAACTGAAGGGAGACCAGAGTGAGTGGAGATGGAAAATGAGGAGAGCCCCAGAAGAGGTAGGCAGTGGCCAGACTATGGAAGGCCCTGCAGGCCTTGAAACAGACTTGGATTTTATACAGAGTGTCGTGAGCAATAAAGGCTAAGGAAATCTTTCTAAGCTTGGCTTGCTGTTGTATGGAAAAAAGATGACGGGACAGGGATGGAGGCAGACCAGCTAGGAGGCTGTCATGGTTTGCTTAGGAGAGAAATCACAATTACTAAAATGAGAGTGGTGACAACACAGACGGGAGAAGGTGATAGAGTTGAAAATGGTTTTGAAGGTAGAGATGACGAGTAGTTTTGCTGATGGGATTAGACCTGTGGGTGAAGAAACAGAAAGATGAGATTTCTGATGTGAGCAACTGAGAGATGGGAAAGACCAGAGACTGGGAAGAACAACAGGTTTGGGCAGGAAAATCAGAATCTGGTTTGGGACATGAATTTGAAATGCTTGTTTAGTTCTCTGGGTGGAGATGACAGGTAGGGGCCTGAATCTACAGGGTGTGGAGTTCGAGGCTGGGCTGGAAGGGGCACAGAGCGGGTACCGCACACTGACTGGACTCAGAGCCAAGGACACAGCCAAAGAAGACAGACCTGGGGAAGGGGTCAGGGGGCCACTAACGGCTGAGAAACCTTCAAAGAGTGCTGAAAAGCAGCAGCCAAAGAGGAAGAAGGGAAAACTAGGAGCCTGCAGTCAGGCAGCCAAGGGGAAGTGTGTGGGCAGCGATGCAGAAAGATACTGTGTGCCCAATCGAGATAAGAGAGAAAGGCGCTGCTGGGTTTGGCTCCTGGAACTCACCAGGGCACCTTGATTAGGGTGGGACATCGCAGGGAACCAGAGTGGAGGGAGCCCAGAAGTTTGGTGCAGAAGGGGTAAATGGGGAGGAAGCTGATGATGGGTGTGGGGGTTGAGGGTTTTGCTGTTGTTTTCTCTTTTGCTTTTGTTTTTTTAAGGATGTAAGAAAATACCGCAGGGAGACGGGCTGAACCGCTCCCAGGGTCCTTTCTAAGCGCCCCCGCCCATCCTCCGACCTTGACAGCTCTCTCCACGTGGATTTTGGCATTTTGGAGCCGGTTCATGTTAGACGCCTTGGAGAATCGTCGCCAGACGACTGGGGAACCTGCAGAAAGATGCGGAGTAGGGGTGGGTAGACTGGGGTTTGGTCTAGGGTCTCCGCCTAGGATCTTTTCTGGCAGCCGATAGCCAAGCCTCTTCTCTTCCTCCCGCCTTCATCCGGATGCCCACCCTCGGCCGCTTTTCTCCCGATCCCTATTCCCTCCACCCCAGTGTCTTCTCCTCCTCGCAGCCGCCGTAGGCCAGGGCAAGCGGGTCGCACGGGGCCTCACCATCCTGCGGCAAGGGGTCATCCAGGACCAGGGTGTGTGGGGAGTCGAGGGGGTGGGGATCCACGTCGCCCTGGGCTTGGGTGCGGAGGACCAGGGTCTTGAAGGCGCGGCCAAGGCGGCAAGCAGGGGCGGGGCTGCCCGCCTTGCATCTGACGCCTGCCCGACCCGCCTCGGGCAGGGCGGAGGCGGGGCCTGGCCAAGGAGGCCTCCCTGGCAGACGGAAATCGGAGCGGCGTGCGGAGGGTAAACTGGTGCGTGGCTCGGGAGGCTGCAGCTTCCACAGCCGGTGGCACACTGAGCCGCCCTTCTGGCAGTACCAGGAGGCCTAGCCCCAGCGCCCAGGCCCCAGTTCCCCCGCGCTCAGGAGCGGTGGTGCGCCGGGGCCCTGCATGTGCCCCTCGCCGCGCGCACCCTCCCAGCACCGCTGATCCTGCCTCCCCTCCGCGTCGCCGCCTCCTCTCCCAGGAGGGCCCTGCCCAGGCTCGAGCCCTGTCCTTCATTCCAAGCCCCGCCCCGTTTGCTGTTACCTTGGAAACCATTCCCTGGGAACCATCAGACCGCTCCCAGCTGGTTTGGGGGCTGCGGTGGGCCCTGAGGCAGTCGAGCGAGGGCTTCTCTAGAAACTGGGGCCTCACCCAGACCGTCGATAAGCGGGGCACTCAAGGTGGAAGACAGCACTGAGTCCCACTTTAAGTTAGTGTCACGGTTCCTTATCCAATACTTCCTGGGTGCCACCGCCCTTAGGGCTTGAGTGATTCCACAGTATTTATAGGCGCTAACGAATGGTCCCTGACCTCATGGAGTTTACATCCCAGTGCGAGGGGAATAAGAAGCAAGTAACAAAAGAAGAGAATAGTGACAGGTATAATAAGGACAGTCAACAAGCAGAGGTGAAACCAGGAAGGGGGGCACATTTTAGGTAAGGTGGGGGTAGAGGATGTCCTCTCTAAAGAGGTGACACATTTAAGTTGAAGGTGTAAATTCGAGGAGTCACAAGTCACCAGGGAAAGGGGAGGAACAGTACTTCAGACAGGGGACAGTCCCAGCAACAGCTCTGAGGAGGGTAAGAACCTCTGTGCAAACCACAAGGCAGCTAATGTGGCTGGAGCCTGGTGAGGCCAGATCAGACCTGCCAGGCCTGGCAGATGGGCCTAGGGTAGTGTGTCCTTAGAGAGGGCAGCATATGGGGGTAACAAGAAAGTGCAGAGCATACCTTCCCCAGGAACTTGAAAATGGAAAAACATCATCTGAGTCAATTGCAAAAGAAATGTAACAGATCAGTTATGCCCAACCCCCAGGCTAAGAGTAAGTAACCTCTTTGGAAGCACTGGAAAAGAATTATCCTCAAAAGTTTAAGGCTCCGAGATGTTAAACAATTTGCCTCAAATACCAGAGCAGAGGCGACACTGGAACCCAGTTCTGACTCCAAAGCCTGTCTCTTAAACATCCCTCTATATTATCACTCAGAAGGTTGCCTTGTTAGTCACAGAAGGACCTCACAGGGGCAGTTTAAGAGGCAAACTCTAGCAGCGTCCATGCAGGCAGAGTTGGATACGAGTACCCTGGCCCAAGAGCCCAGCTTTGTTAGTCACTGGGTATGAGTGAAGGTGGATCCCCCAACTCTCTGTCCAGCTGCCCCCAACCCCCCTTAGCTGATGGCTAGACTTCCTGAAAAGTATACTCCCCAGGAGAGGCAATTTAGGGAATTTGGACCCTGGGAGATAAGTGACAAATGAGGGTTTTGGCTGGTTCATGCAGGCAATGCTTTCCGGTAAGGGTTGTTGAGTGGCCCTATCAGTCACCCAGTTTCACTGTGAGCACCTTTAACATTCACTGCAAAGCTAGAACAGAGTCATATGCCCTGGAGGGGAACACCTAATTTGGAGAGGTAGGGGGGTAGGTCACAGAGGTAATGTCATAAAGGGGATGATAGCACTTTGGGAGGCTGAGGCAGGAGGATCACCCAAGGCAGGCCAGGCAACAGAGAGACCTTAAAAAAAAATTAGCTGGGCATGGTAGTGGCACAGGCCTGTGGTACTAGCTACTCAGGAAGCTGAGGTCAGAGAATCACTTGAGCCCAGGGAAGCTGAGGCTGCAGTGAGCCATGACTGTGCCACTGCATTCCAGCCTGGGTGACAGTGCGAGACCCTATCTCAAAAATGAAAAAAAGAAAAAAAAGGGAGGGGGACAATAGTTATTTATGTTGCCCTCACCCCCTGCCTTTAACGTCACCCTTTCAAGAGACCCCTTTGGCCATCTGGAGGAATCCCTTTTGAAAGCTCACCTCAGCTGGGTGCGGTGGCTCACTCCTGTAATACCAGCACTTTGGGAGGCTGAGGCGGGCGGATCACAAGGTCAGGAGATCAAGACCATCATGGCCAGCATGGTGAAACAACATCTCTACTAAAATACATAAACTTAGCTGGGTGTGGTGGTGCGTGTCTGTAATCCCAGCTTCTCGGGAGGCTGAGGGAGAGGAATCGCTTGAACCCGGGAGGCGGAGGTTGCAGTGAGCTGAGATCGCATCACTGCACTCCAAGCTGGCAACAGAGTTAAGACTCCGTCTCAAAAAAAAAAAGCTCAACTCAAAGGTTAACTCTTCTTGAAGCTTACGCTGACATCCTCTCCTATAAATAATCCCTCTTTGGCCCCCAGACTTCCAATATTAAATATGAAACACTTCAGTGCACCTTTTACACATCTAGCTCTTTTCCTGGACCTCCCAAGTCTGAATGCAATAACATCATGAACACTGGAAATTATTCAACAGCCCAGCCACTGGGCTGGTAGAACAAACAACTACAATTCAGTCAGTGCCTGTGTGGCAGGGACCATGTCAGATTATTCATATTCATTATCTCCACTTTATAGACTAAGAAACTGAGACACAATAGAAATAACTTGCCCAAATCTGGCAAGATTCAGGACTCAAACACAAGGGGTTTTTTACTTCAAGATGTTACTTGAAGGCTGCACTAGGTAGCACTAGCCAACATAACTTTCTGCAGTGATGGGAATGTCTATCTATGTGTTGTATATGCTGTGTCTATATGCAAGTCTATATATGCTGTTGTAGATGGTACAGTCACTGGTAGCTGCTAAGTTGCCAGTGGGACCGGGGAACTAGATTTTAAACCTTTTTTAATTGTAATAATTAAAACTGAAATAGCCACTCGTGGATGGTGATTACTGTTTTAACACAGGCCAAAGTCTACTCTTGCTCACTGGCTGAGATTTGAGGCAAGCTATTACATCTCATGTCTGGAACCTCAGTTTCCTTATCCACCAAATGGGAGCACTGTTTCTCTGTGGTTACTTTTTAGCTCAAGTAAGATCATTATGTGAAAAACACCAAAGCTCTGAACGTTCAGGCAGAGAGAACAGTTTCAAAAATGAATGGTGCCTGGACTGCAATGAAAGGGGTCTCTGGATTGGGGCCCCTGGCAGGAATAATGACAGGACCAATCATGAGACTGCACCCAGTGGAGAGCTCCAGGCACAATTACCAGCCATCAGGGAAAATCAGCCCCACCTCCCCTCCTTTCACACAAACACACAGAGCATAGACCTCATGCAGCCCCAAAGGGGCAAAAAGAGACTTTAATTAGGGGAGAGAGGACCCACCAGAATTAGAAAAGGGACAGCTAGCGTGGGAGCAGAAGAGCCAGAGCAGGCAGGAGGAGGACCCGGCTGGGAAGCTCTGGAGGAGGACTCACCTTGCCACTATGGCAGGCACTGCACTGACAAAGGCGAAACAGTGGCCCCTCTCAACTGGGAGGGTACCCAATGGCCCCTATAGCCAGAGGTTGCCTGGCTTTTGGGCCCCAGGTCCTAGGCATGACTGGTGGTCCCCAATTTGGCCCTTGTCCCCAACCAGTGCTGGGTGGCCATCTTCAGGCAGAACTCAGGAAGCTGGCAGAGGGTTCCCACCACATATACTGTGCCCAAGGAGGCTTCGGAATAAAAGAGCAAGGGAGAGGAACTGGAATCTGAAACTTCCCTCCCTCCCCACGTGGGATGGCACAGGAGAGGAAAAATAGTCGCCTTCTGGGCTCCAGGCCCGCCCAGACCCACAGCAACCAATAAGGGACAATCACTGGGACCAGTCACAGCCACTGGAGGTGGAGGTTACTTTAAAAAAAAAAAAAAAAAAAAGACAAAAAGGTTACAGACTCCTCTAAGCACAGAGTTTAAGTTTCAAGACATTAAAAAAAAATCTGTCCCGGCCCAGGGGACTTGAACATCAGAAGCCAGCCTGACCAGGCACGTGTGGCCTTGGGGCAGGTCCACTGCTGCTTTCTTGCCCAGCTAGCAAGCACACCACCCACCTCCCATATCAAATGCCCACCCTAACCCAGCTCCCTGCTGCCGCCACTGCTGTTCTAGAGAGTGACTCCAGGACGCCTTCATGGAGACATGGGGAGTCTGAGGGGGAAGGCCACAAGATCCAGCCGGATGGTTTAAAACTGTCAAGAGAACCAAGAGGCAGAACATGGTGGTTATTATTGCATCCTGGTGGGCCTGCTTTAAAGAAATGCATGAACCTGAGAGCTGCCACTGTGCTCAGATCTAAGGGGCAGAGTTGGGTCCCGGGACACCTCATGGTCTTGCTCTAATTCAGTCAGCTTTCAGAAGTGACATATGGGCACTGGCCCTAAGCCTAGCACTAGATAAGGCAGCAAAAAAAGTAACAGCCATGACAGCTTCTCCACAGCTCCCTTGTGCCCTGGCATGGAAGCTGCTAGAAAGCCCTGCCAGCATCTTGCTTGGTGAACTGAGGTTGCTTTCTTTAGGCATGGGGGCTCACATGCAAGGGGCTTTGGGACTTAGAGGGCCAAGTGCAGAAGGATCCAGGTTCTGGTACTTTTGTGTCAAGCTCTGGATGATCTGGCCCTTGAAATATTTTCTGCCCTCAAGGGTCCCCCATGCTGCCTAAGACAGTCCTGGACATTTTAGAGACCAAAGGTTGTGAACCAATGCCCATGCCTGCAACTATTCCAAAGATGAGTACTGTATGGCCCACGTGGTATTTATATGAATTAGTTGCTAACCTTGAAAACATGGGAGACACCATATACAAATCCAAATCTGGGGGCTCAATGGGCTGGAGCTGTGTGGGAGCCAGCCCCTGCAGATGAGGCATGTGCTCAGCAGCTCCTCACCCTGCCCTCTCCATACTCCATACTTAGCCCACTCCACAGCCACCCGACCTTTGCATGCACCTGATTTGTGACCCCTGACACATCTAAGATCTAAGATAGGTTATGGTACTATCTTAGATCTCTGAGTCAGACAACCCAGTTCCATGTTCTGGTTCCTCCTCTTACTGGCTGAGGGACCTTGGACAGTTGCTTTTAATTCCAGAGTCCCAGTTTACTGATCTCTAAAATGGTGATAATAGCTGACTCAAAAATTGTTTTGAGGCCGGGTGTGGTGGTTCAAGCCTGTAATCCCAGCACTTTGGGAGGCTGAGGCGGGTGGATCACGAGGTCAAGAGATAGAGACCATCCTGGTCAACATGGTGAAACCCCGTCTCTACTAAAAAATACAAAAAATTAGCTGGGCATGGTGGTGCGTGCCTGTAATCCCAGCTACTCGGGAGGCTGAGGCAGGAGAATTGCCTGAACCCGGGAAGTGGAGGTTGCGGTGAGCCGAGATCGTGCCATTGCACTCCAGCCTGGGTAACAAGAGCAAAACTCCATCTCAAAAAAAAAAAAAAAATTGTTTTGAGTAATAAATGGGACATGTGAACATGCTTTTTTAGGTGTCTAATTCTATGAAATGTAATTGTCACAAATAAGTAAATGATTATTGAATGAGTGAGCCAAAGATTCAATTGGAACAAGAGCTATTTTCCCCTTCCAGTTCAATCTAGAGGCCTCCTAGTACCCTGGACATAAAATTTTGATACTGCAATACATGGAAAGCTTACTATGTACCAGGTGCTACATTTTACACATATGGTCTCATTTAATGCTCAACCACTCTGAAAGACATGTATTAACTACCAAATCCTCATTTCACAGCTGAGGAAACTGAGGCTTAGTTGAGAATTCAGTGACATGCCTAAGTAGGCGGTGGAACCTGGTTTCACACACAGGTTGTCGGCCTCCACAGCTGACTGAGCTCAACAACCACGCTGATCTGTGTGCACAGCACAGCTACTTTGTATGCTGGCCACCCTGAGTATAATTAAATCCCAGGGGAAGCAGGTATAATTTCCATTTTTAGCAATCTGAGCTCCTTCTGGACTGGGTGTGCACTCACTGGTGAGAGTACACACTAAGTCTACTGCCTAGAGATCACAGCCACTCTGGGTAGAACATGCCAACAAACCAAAGATTGTTTAGAAAAGTAGAAAAAAAAAGAAGGCATGTCTTGAATATCTAAACAACTAAGAACTATGTCATCAGTTACCAATGTAAATAATTCCACCTCTTCATATGACTACAGTCCTTTCGATTAGAAAGGCATAAACAATATAAGAGGAATCTGGAGGACTTAGGCCATGCAAGTGATGGAAAACAGGTTGAAGGAATCATGACTTTAAGCCTAAGAAACAGACGCTAAGGAAAGTACTGATGTCTATTTGAGAAGTGGAATTATACCATGATTAACTGTCCTATATTCCGGGAAAATTCACATGCAGACTTCACTTGCCTCACTTAGGGTTTGAACTAGATAGAGGTAAGGACTTTATGAACATCCTGAGATACAGAAATGAGTGTCCAAGTTCCTACAAGAGACTAAGAGACATCCTAGACACCCAAAAATACAGAAAATGCCTGTAGCGCTCAGAGATGAACCTGGGGCCTTCTAGCTCCAAAGCACCTGAGCAACCTGCTGTGTTCTAGGGGTTCCAAAGATATAAACACACTGCTAGCACCCCTTTCCCACCAGGTGCTAAGTTCTCAACATGACTCCAGATCCTTCAGCCTCTGGAAGGAAAGCAGAAAAGCCTATACTCACATTCTTAAGGAACTCCTCAGCCACAATGCGGGCACGGGCATTGACTGACAGCTTCATTTCACTGATCTCCTTGTCAATCTCCTCCATGAAGTGGATCACAAAGTCCACCAACTTGTGTTTGTACATCTGCTCTGTGTGGAAGTTGGTGATCAGAAAGCTGATGTCATACCCCTAGGAAAGAAGACAGCAGGGAGGAAGAAGGGAAGGAACAGGAGAGAATTAGCACCCCAGGGGAAGTGAGCTGGTCATGTCCTCCACTCATTCACATGTTTCTCACTGGCTGTGATCTTCTCCCAAGCTACACACCCTTCCAGTCAGCAGCCCACCTGCTCTGGGGAAGGGCGTGTAGGTTGGATCCAAGCAACTCAATCCAGTTGAGAATTCTGTGTGTATCAGACATCTCTGGAAGACTATCTGTGGCACAAACAACTCTACATTCAGAATGAGTCAAGGCACTTGAAGTCTTGTTACAGAAGAATCTAATCAAACAACAGGGAACATTTAGTCCAGAAAAGAGATGATGTGGAAGATGAGTGGGATTAAGGTATTTTTTCTGCTGGAGGCGTATGTGAGGAAGAGGAATTTTATTTACTCCAGGTGGCCAAAGAGGTTAGATCTAGGACCGGGAGAGAAAAATTTGGCTCAGGATGAGGAAGAACTTGGCCAACATGCCTGATGTATCTGATGATGGCATATCCTGCTGTGTGGTACTTGTGGGGATGCTTTAAGTTAAGTTGGTAAGGAGTCTGTGGAGGAGGGTCAAGTACAAAGTCAGGCAACAACTGACCCAGTGTTAACTGTGGCTTTAAGAGACTATGATTCACTTTAGGAGGCCGAGATGGGTGGATCACCTGAGGTCACGAGACCAGCCTGACCAACATGATGAAACCCCATCTCTACTAAAATTACAAAATTAACCAGGCACGGTAGCACATGGTAGCTACTCAGGAGGCTGAGGCAGGAGAAATGGTTTGAACCTGGGAGGCAGAGGTTTCAGTGAGTCGAGATCACATCATTGTACTCCAGCCTGGGCAACAAGAGCAAAACTCCAACGACAATAACAACAACAAAATCACTGTGCTCTTTCTGCTGCTAGACTGTAGGCTCTGGGAATAAGCAATGTATCTTATATTTTTTGCCTTTTCCTTTTTCTTTTTTTAGATGGAGTCTCACTCTGTCACCCAGGCTGCGTGCAGTGGCACAATCTCGGCTCACTGTAACTTCCGCTTCCCGGGTTGAAGCAATTCTCTGCCTCAGCCTCCCGAGTAGCTGGAATTACAGGTGCCCGCCATCACACTGGGCTTATTTTTATATTTTTAGTATAGATGGGATGGCACCATCTTGGCCAGGCTGGTCTTGAACTCCTGACCTCATGATCCACCCTCCTCGGCCTCCCAAAGTGTTGGGATTACAGGCATGAGCCACCACTCCTGGTCCTTTTTTGCCTTTTGTATGGCTGAGGTAGACCCAACTTTTCCTAGGCTTCTGATCCTCTTGGTTCCCACTCCAGCTGAGATGAAGGCCAACTCTCAGTTCAGGCGGTGGTGCCAAACAGCTGGAAGAGCAGCAATCCAGGTTCTAGAAACAATTCCAGGCCATTCTGTAGCAGGATCCTGGGTATTGCAAATTCATGGGTCACAAGGTCTCACCTCCACAGGCTTTCTTCGAAGGATGAAGAAGTTTTCTGCTCGCATCATCATGAAGCGCATGAATTTGTGGCATAAAATCTTCTCAATCTCATCGGCCTGGGAAATAAAAGGGAGAAACATTTCTCTAAAGCCGACACCCAAGCCAAAAATACCCTGTAGCCTGGTCTTCTGACTCCAATTTCTCCAAAGCTCCCAGGAGACAGTGAGGTTTGGTACTCGGAAGGATCACTGAAGTGAGGGACCTGGCTGCCAACTGAAACAAGGGTCTATCTTGGGGCATCTCTTAATGAGGACCCATTCCAGAGAGGTAATTCTGGCAAACAGAGTCTTTTATGGCTTCTTTACGAGTCTACAGCGATACGCCAAGCTGCCCTTCTCATTCCCACTTCACTAGTGTTACATTTCCCAGGGTGTGTCGCAGCACCACCTGGGCTATCAGAGATAACTTTAGGTGGTCTCTGCTTTATAACACTGAACATCCAACAATCTCTGAAGTTTCTCCCTTCTGAACTCTCAACATTTCTTTTTTTTTTTTTTTTGAGATG